TTCGAGCCATCCGGAAGTCCAGCCGCCCCAAGCATCATCTACGCCAGTAAAAATCTGCAATCCTTGAATTCCGTCACATTCCTCGACAAATGGACGAAGATCTCGATCAACCAAATCTACCTCTCTTTCAAGCTTCTCGAAAAGCTCCATACCAACATCCCAGTTTTCGAAAGGCATGAGCTTATCGTTGACATCAAAGTCTGACAACTGAACAATGGACTTGGGGTGATAGTAGACGCGACTGTAATCAGACCAGTACCGGACTGTGGATGTGCTGAGTGGTGGTGGTTCGAGACCAGCGTCAAGATGCTCTTGGTAGGATGATTGTGGGATGGTCTCAGACGCACGTTGAATGATGGGTTTAGAAGGCCAAACACCGGGTTTATCCAGAATACTTCGGTCGTCCTCGGCCTCGTACAGTGCGTTGATTTTCCGCATACTTCCAAAAGCACCCTTGAGATCGTATATCAGGGTTCTTGGAGTAAAAGTGTCTGACCCATCAGGAGCCATGCCTGGTCTGAAAAGAATGTCATGGTTGACGGGCGATTCATCTTCTGGCGGGTATGTGAAATACGATTCCTGTCGAAAAAAAAAGTCAGAAAAACTGGATATATCATACTCCATCAAAAGTTTAAAGAGACTGTGCGTGAATGGTGTGAAGTGCATGAACAAAGTATTGGTGGGATGTTCGAGAGCAAAGTTTCTCCACGAGGCATTCGAAAAACACTCAGAAAAGAATGTAAAACATTAATAAATATGAATGCGTTGACATGTGACCGGCGACTAGAATTGTGCACTTGCCTGTGTGTTCCAAAAGTGCGTTCCGAGATAATTGCTCTGCGTGCCAAATTGTAGAGTGACAATTTCGTGCATGGCGACAACAACAATTCAAGAGTAGACTGACTTGAAATTTCCAGCTGCCAAGTTCCCACTGAAAGTGAAGAAGAAAGATGAAGAGTGTTGATAGTAAAAGTGGAGATGTACGACGATTGGACGATGTCAAGTTCTTCCAATTGCCCCGCACGTGCTCACGCGAGAGGGCAGCGCTTCACGTCCTCCCCAGGTACGTCATCGTCTGTAATTTGAAATTTTGAAAAGGCTCAAATAATAAACAGTGCGCACTGGAAAGTATAGTACACGGAGGTGCAGGGAAGAATTGATGGTTTCATTATCTACACGCACCTAAGAATGTATGAATTTAACCCATAAGCTGCAACTGATCCGTCGGTGGCCATCTTGTCTGAGCAAAACTGAGACATCTCTTGATACTCTGCAGGTACTTTCGTGTAATCTCATCACTCATGATATGCGCTGCATTCTTATCGCTCTCATGCAACTTTTCTCGTGCACTTCTCTCGTGAATACCCACCATCGTAACACCAATCGGCCATGCTGCCTTGCCAATACTGAGTCGTAGGTATCCGTCGTTCGCATCCACATATCGCCTTTCTTGTGCTGCATGTACAATTTCCACAACAGGTTCGATGATGCTGTCTGGAAGGTCAAACTTCTCCAGCTTCTTGAATAGCGGACGCATGTTCTCCCGCGCTTGCACCATGGCAGCATAGGCTTGCTTTCCTTGATAACTCTCCTTGACCTCTGCGTCTCGGCGTGAAAGTGTCACATCCCATTCCTTCAGTACCATTGTGAAGTAACTTGCGAGTTGCCTGAAGAGGAACTCTCTGCCCTCCTTGTCCTTTGGTACCTGCAAGCTGACCTTCATGTCCTTCTCTGGTACTAGTTGTAGAGTTGTCGGGATCGGACCGTCTGTCATGATTGCTGCTAGGTTGTCTGCGCCCACGCGCTTCTTGTATCGCTTTAGGCGCTGCTTGTGTGTCTCGCCAAAGACTCGGGCTGGCTCGTCGAGGGCTCTCAGTTTTGCGATCAACTCTTCATCTTCAATGTCTTCGTTCTCGGGAACAGGTGTGCCATCTCCTTCGCCCTCCTTCTTCTTTGGCGGTAATTCTGGCAAGCCTAAGCGCTTCCTTCTCCGCCGCTCTTCTGCCTCTTCCTCTTCTTCTCTAATCCGTCTTGCTTCCTCCGCCATGCGCATCCGCTTCTCCCGCCTCTGTGCCTCTTTCTCAGCCTCATCTTCTTCGGCTTTGCGCTTCTTCTCTAGACGCTCTAGTCGTGCCTTCTCTGCAGCCTCCTGCTCAGCCCGGTATGCAGCTTGCCGTTGGGCCTCGATTTCGCTGCGCTTGAGGTACTTTTTGTCGCTTGATTCCGATGTTGAGGCTGTTTCCTTTCCTTTTTTGATATGCGCGGACATGAGTTTTGCGAAATCCATCTTGGCGACTGTGTTGTTCGTAGTCTGGTGTTATCTCGAGTGCAAATAAAGAGTGAACGTAGAATGCGACATGAAAGTTCACTGATCGGCAGCGCGGTTCTGCCGAGGAACGGCGCTAGTGGAAGCTCTCCGCGTCGCGTTCCCTTACTTGTACTCCACCAACATCGCATGCCAAGATAACGAATTGTGAATCTCTTTTGTCGCATATGCTATAGACCTCATTGAAAACTATTGGAGCACATCAGGTGTTTTCATCATTAGTTTGCGACAAGGCTGTGACCTCCAACATGGCTGCCCCAGCGAAGATTGACCGACAAACAACCACACCTTTCTTACTGCGCCTCTTCTTCAAGCAAGGATCATTCCATAGGCAAGTTGAGAGTATGATATAAAGTACCATCATGTCGCTAACAGACCCAAGGTTAGATGAGTTCGATCCGACACTACCACGTCTTCCAACAAATGTCCAAATCTACACATGGCAAAGCTGCACTCTGCGTGAACTCTGTCAGCTTCTCCTTAGCGCCGTACCGTCAATGTTACCACAACCATATGCTGGATCGCGTATCGCATTCCGACTCGTATACCCTGACATACAAGGCTCCAACCGACCAGGCGCACCAGGACGATTTATATCGCGAGACATTGGCTCTGTCATAGTAGGCGCCCCGTCAAGAAATGATGACGTTGACATGGAGATGAATGAGGGAGGAAGTGTCGCAGAAGCTCTCAAGCAGCTGGATGGCGACCCAGACAGGACCCTTGCAGATGTCAAATTCCTTATTGGTGATTACATCGCATGTGCGATCCTCCCACCATTGCCCGACGGCGGCGTACCCGCCGCGCCACCACCGCTATCTGGACCAGGAAGAGGTCCGCCGGCAGGCTCCTATGGTGGGCGAGGTAGAGAGAATGGCTTTGGCGGTCGAGGCGATTGGGGTGGCTATGGTAGAGGAGGAAGAGGAGGAGGGGGTGGTAGATTCGATGATAGAAGGCTGAGTGGGGGAGGTGTGCCTTCAGGCGAATGGAGAAGAGGCGAAGTACCACCAGAGCGAGAGTCAGGATTTGGGAGGGGAGGGAGAGGACGTGGAGGTGGAGATGATTGGCGTGACCGTGGCAGAGGCAGAGGCCGCTGGTAGTTACGTCGTATGTCAGAGGGCTGTTTCAATAGACTCCAATTGTTCATTCACTCACAAGAGCCAATTATACCCACTTCACCACATTCGAGACGCAAGAATATGCCGTGACAGCGGTAAGTTAGCGGTTCGTCCTAAAGATATGGAATTGACCAAGGTTATCCGGAGGCAGTATGAAAAAGCAAAGATTTCTACGACCCCATTCCATGAAATTATTGTTCAAAATAAAGCCGGTATGTCAATCCCAGTACGATATATTGAAAGTTAGGCAGAGGCCCGTATCATTTTTTGCATAATTTGCGAACGTCCTTCTCATAATGAGTACGTGAAAATGCCCAAGTTTTTCCATACAAAAAATGGCCCAGTATACACCAAAAAAGTCCATGTAACTTTCTAGATGACACAATGATTCCATGTGAGTCCTGAAGCAATCTCTCCGAACTTCTCGTCCATTTGTTTCCGGAAAATCGTGATAGCAACCCAGTCAATATTTCCATAAGTATCCTCTCGATCAAACCTAGGCCTTTTTCTCAATTTCTAGCCAGCTTCTTCTAGTCATCTCATACTCCGTTTTATTACTTTGAGTTTTTGATTCTCGACTTGTTTGATGGCTATCAATTGTGTTGTACGGTGGTGGTATCTGGGATTTACATGGCCTCGCAATATCAGGCTATGCAAAACCTATTTCTCGCTTTTGCATCATACCATGTTTGATGAATATGGAAGCGCTCTATGCGTATTTTTGCTTTCAGTAAGAGAAGCATGTAATCACACATGTCATACTGCCACTGACTGGTCATGATAGCTACGTATGCATTTACCACACCGTTATCACCACTCACTATTGTAGTGACAGTAGCAGTTTGAAATGAAAAGGTTGGCATGAGACTTTGACGAAGAATCTCAACTATTTGGACATGAGCTCTATCCTGTTCATATTTGCTTGAGTAGCTGAATTTATCAAGTTCTATTGATTACTGGCTTCATACTGGAGTCTCTTGATACCGTACCCTTGCCTCCATTTTGTCATTAGTGATTGGTATTTCTTCAATGACTAGGAAAGTGATGTTAGTTCCTTTTGCAACACATTTAGATTACATAATAGTATCATAGCACAACTTGTTGAGGATATACTATTCAGATGTTAGTTCACTCTGGAAAAACGAACCTTCTCAATGACGGTGCATTGGCCAGCGGAAGTAAGAATCAGACATGGGCGTTCAGCTTCATAGTATGGTTCTCTGTGTTATTCAGTACTCCTTACATGCAGATTTTGGTGCCACACACTGTTCGGGCTACAAGATTTGTTCTAGCCAACCATGTCGAAATCGCAAACATTGGGTTTCCCGTCACCTGTGAGCATCTCAAGCCACAGCCCGATTGCTCGCCATGCATGATATCTCTTCATTGCTCACCGCCTCCTAACTCGTGCGCCATACCATAATGTTATCGTGATCTGTCATTCTTCATCAATTGCATGTACGCGAGTCTTAATCCCAAAGTGCCTTTCATCACTGACAGATATTGCATATCCAACACATTGGAACCGAGCAAGAGTAGAAGTTTCCAAATCCCGTTCAAGGAAGCAAATCGAATCGAAGTTGACGCTCGAGCAGCTCGCTAGCCGCCACCTGCATGCCAGATGGCGGCACATCACTGACATACCACGCGTAGGAGACTTTCATGAGCTGCGGCTCATGCCATAGCAGCGGGTGCACTAGAACTCGGAAGTAGCCCCGAAAACATCGCTGCACACCAACCCTGCAGTTGCACCAAGAACAGTAGAAGTTGGCAACCTCCACCATCGAAACACTGTAGTGAAATTGCCAACAAAACGATGCTGGAATGTGGAGGCGAAGTACATACACACTGCGGCATGCATCTACCCCGGAGCCCGCATACGGCGCAGCCTCAAACAATGAATCCTCAGCTCCTGAAGCGAAAGAGAAAGAAAACAATTTACGAGGATTGGTGCTGTGCTTCCTAGATCACACTCATCACCACACACACACACTCTCTCTTCTTCATTCCACCACCCACCAAATTCCCATCCCGTGATTTGCAAGGAAGAGGAGAAGAAAAAATAGGGCAGTCTATCCACCCGCACCAACCCCAAAACCACCCTACCCCTTACATAGAAGCCATCCACCTAGCCTTCCATACTACACATGTACGTGCACGCACGAAGGAGCACCCATCTTCAGCCGCTCCCCCCCTTCCTCCTCCAACGCAAAGCCCACCAACCTGCAGCTGACCACACACGCCAGTACCGTCCACCAATCCCTTCGCCTCCCTTCCCGACCGTTTTTTTTCAACAACCTACTTACCATCCTTTATGCACCGCGCTTGTCAGCGCTTTGTGCGACATCTACAGGGCGTGCATGTGCAGCATAAGCCTCATGTGCGTGTGAGTGGACCCCCCACATGCGGCGCTGTTAAGGAATAAATGTATGTATGTAGCACAAGTGTGTAGATGGTATGCATAACACATGCGCCGTATGCAGTGTACGTTGCTTGCGTCCCGCGGAAGAAATGATTCGCGCGCGGATGATGGGGTGGGCTACGGTGCTGCGGTGTGGGCAAAGGAGATGATGGGATGGTAGATCAAGAGGTTGTTACTAGTGGATGGATGGGGTTTTTTTGTTTTGGCGTGGTGAAGATCTGCGGTTGGTGTGGGGGTGCAGAGGTGCGCGGTGTGGATGACTCGATTCGATGGGTGAGGTTTTGGGCGCGGTGAGTTGGTGTATGCTGGGTTGATGGTGGTGATTTGGTCAGTTCATCTTTTGGATGCACAGGGCTTTCATGCAGGATTTCGTGTCTCAGGTTTAGGCTGCGGACGGTATTCATATGATCATTTGACATTTTTTGTGTCTTTGAGCATTCGTGCTGGACGTGGAATGGGTGGACGGTTTGGCGTCGAGAGTTCCCAACTACTACTATGAGCCGTCTCACCGATCAACGCCTGGTACCTGCTTGGACTCGAGCATTTGGTCTTACAAAAAAACAAAGCTCTAGGCGGTACTTCGTCGGCCAATTGCCACGTGAAGCTGATATCGACCATGGAGGGACTACTGTACGTGTGGAGAAGTGGATCAGACGTTGATGTACAGCCGCAGGAGTGTGATCAGATCGCTTTGGGTTAGGGATTTGGACATTGCTGCATGCGCATTTGACGCTGGATGTAGCCGCTTAGACGCTGGGACTTTTGAGGCGAAGTTGCTCTGCATAACGATGATCTACACGTTGTTGATCTCTTCTTGGATATTTGTGGAATTGCTTTGCTGTCACCGTGTATTGAGTGACGCCTTTTTGGCCCCTGAAATTCTAAAGACAGGATGTTTTTCCTTGTAAGAATTCGCTCGAGGTATGGTGTCCGAACAAAGAAATATGGGTACAGCTTAGCTGAGAGGGTAGTAGTCTACCGGTGAAGGTATAGTGAACTGCGGGCTAAAACAGCATCCTAATCACTTTTGCCTCACTAACTCAATAAAATACCCACATATTTATGCACTCGCACACAGTGCCTACTACGGTTGCCAAGCACATGATCTGTGGTTGGCACTGTTCAGGCCGTCGCGAAGCTGATGAGGCTGTAGCAGGTGGACCGTATTCCGTATTGCGAATCCTGCAAGCGTATCCTAGAAAGACGGCGTTCTTACAAGCCTGGCATGAGAGCAGTCCACGTGAATCCATCTTTTGCTTGTAATTGGAGTATTGCTTTTAGAAATGCGGCCAATCCCCCCACATGCTAACCTTGCAAAGGATGCCGCGCTAGGTGATGGCTTACTGTGCCGCCGTTGGTTGGCCAATGCAAGCGCTGCGGCGCGCATGGAGAATGTGACGACTTTCAAGAGGTCCATAACAACGGCCACAGATCCGGAGGCGCAAGGTAGTAGGCACCTTGTATCCACCGCTGTCGTTTTTTGTTATTCCTGTGATGGCTCCGCGGGACCTTTTGCTTGGTCGATGTTTGTAAAATACAAGTACAAATGCAGATAAATACTTGATCGACCAGGCTGATTCCATGGTTCATGTGCAGGACAGCAAAAACAACAGTGAGTATAGACCCATTAACCTGGTGTGGGGCAGACTTGGACCAGATCGCACCTCGTATCTTGGGTCGTATGACATTGACGCTTGCATCTGAGACGGAGCCCAACGTCGTCAGACTGACATCCTTGGAAAACGGCTAGTGCACACACATTTGAGTTCCTTTCCAGTTACCGCTTCGAGTATAGATAATATCGAAGCCTTACAAGGTAGGACCTTGTCTCCCACGCAGTGACCACTTACCACCCGCCTGGCAGCCCCAACGCCAACTGGCCAAGCTCTAGCGAACCGGAAGTTATCCTCCAGAGAGGCACCTGCAGCTCGCTACATCTTGGTTCTGTGGCTCATGGCCATCCATGTCCATACTAGTGTGCCCCATTTTTTTTCGACAAAAAGAGAGGATTGGCTGTCTTTCGTCTTCTGACCGGTGTCAATGCCTTCTATCCAGGTCCCGTCGAGGTCAGCCAGTTGCGTTAGTGAAGTCAGCCAGTTAAATTAGCGTGTAGTCAAATTGGACCTGGCTTTGGCTGACGTTAGCCACGAGCATTTTTGAGAAGCGTCATTGTTGGCGATCTTGAGAATGCCGATTTCGATCAAGGGGTCTCCCCCCCAGCACGTCTAGTGAGGGGATCGCTTTCTCATCTCACGTGCTTGTCAGCTCATGCGGGAGATGCCAGTGGCGAATTTAGTGCAATCTGGAACCGGAAGACAGGGACTACATGGACCATAGAGCCCCTTGGAGGTTCTCTAAGATATGTCTTGCATGAGAAGTGCACAAATCACGATTCTTGGGACTTGAGATGTGGGGATTTTTTGTATTTTCATTGTTATTATTGTCGTTGTTTAAAGGGGGTTTGCACACTAAGAAAATTTACAAACAACAGGAGAAGAAGCGCAGAAAAAATGACACAAAGTATGCCGAAGCATGGTAATCACTTGCCTCCCCAACGCCAGCAACATCAAAAGACTAGAAAGACAAAACCGAGATGAGTCACATCCATATACGGTCGAGTGCCATAGACCAGACGACACCAATCCAGGGCTTAGCTCAGGTTTGCGTGAGCTTGTTCTTGATCCATCTTACCAGATCCTTTTCCTTGGGACCAAGGATTCCCTTGAGTTCCTGGTATGTCATCTTCCTATTGTTGCCCTTTCTCTTCCCAACCCTCAAGTGTGTGAGATAATGCGAGCGGAAGTTGTCACTCCTTCGGAAGCGCGCAAAGCAATCAGGAACCTTGCATTTGTAAACGTTGACGAGGCCAATGCCGTGAACACTTCTGATATGACGGCGAAGATGCTCTGGTCGTTGAAACTTTTTGGGGCAAGGCGTGTCTTTGTTGGGCCCGATCAATTCCAAGCACTGATGCCTGCGATCGGTTGTTGTGTGGAAGGTACATGTGTTGGCGGACCATCCCTCAAGCCTGTAGACATTGGATCTAGGCTGAGCCCTCCTAGAAGACCATCTTCTTGGGCGTCTGGATGAAGAGGGTTCGTCATGCCACGAGTCATCGCTATCAGAATCGCTCAGGTCGTCGCTTTCATCGCCAATGTTGTTGAAGCCTGAGAGATCGAAAGCCCCAGAATCCACAGCTGGGGTTGGGGAATCCTGCTGTGGCATAGGATATGGCAGGTAGGGTACGGGTGCGGATACTCTTGGTTCAGGCAAAATAGTCGGCATCAGTTGATAGGAGCGCTGTTCGTAGCTGGGGATTTCGTGATAGGGCAGAACATAAGGTCGTGAGTTCCAGGAAGTGACTTCAGGGTAGGTGGATGGCCAGAGAGACTCAGGTTCATTCGAAACAGCCGCATGGTTGGTTGAACTGTGTTGGACGTTGTGGAAAGCTGGTTCGAGGGTGTTGTAAGCTGAGAAGCCGGTGTAAGGCGGTGAAGACACGCTCTCAGAGTGACTTATGGTAGAGCTTGTTGAATGCGGGCTACCGCAAGATACCTCAAGTGCCAATATATCCATGAATTCCATTGGAGTACCCATTGGTCGATGTACTAATGTATCGTGGTCAAAGTTATGGAAAGATGGGCGTTCATTGAACGATCCAGTTATCGGTTCGTTTGTATTGCGGGTTTGTGCCTCGTACGGTTCCGAGTAATTCTCAATGTACTGGTATGGGCTTGAAGTATAAGTTGGGACTCGTTGCTCCATGACAGCTGATGCAGGTCTTATATGCAGTTAGCGCCAACATCTTGGTAAAGGATCAACATGCAATCCTACCGGTGCAGTTACGCTTTCTGGTCGTAGTACAAATCAGAGAATAGTGGATAGCGACAGCACAAGACTGGTGTAAGGGACTTGGAGAATCTGAGATCTGGATTGGATTGTTGCACAGGCAGACGGAACCATCTATGTTATAGATCTGGTGCGATAGCTAGACCACAACCATGCCTCAAGCTCCTCGGAGGGAGGCATAGTAACCCCTCATTCGAGAGATTGCTGGAGATCGGTCAATACGACACGCGCCCAGGAGTATGGTTCTTGCTAGGCCTGGGCCGTACAATCTCAGCATACCACCCTTGCAGCGCACACGGCCTTGGTTGCTGGCGGCCAGCGGATAGCCCAAAATGACATGGGTGTCACGCTACTTTGCGGCGTAGTTCAAAGACTGGAGCTGTGGGCCAGCCTGAATTTGTCAAGTGGCGGGCGTGCTAGTGGCGTGCGAATACCCTTGCCACTAGCCATCCACCTGCGCACCAAGGCCTTCCATAGCATGAATGATACACTTGCCTTCTCCACGGCTTGACGCCTAGCGACTGCCCAGCGTGAAAATCGCGGGGAATATACCTGTATGATTTGACGCCCTCAGCAGGTGGCTGAAGGGAACTTCCAGCGCGGCTTGTGGCGATCGGCTCATCAGGGTCTCGATTCTTGAGCCGACACGTACATTGTCACTTCGTAGAGTATCCTCCATCTTCGGTCCTGTGAGGCGGTCGTTCAACCTGCCAGATCACCGCTAAGGCCACATCTTATGGGTGATAAGACTGGCATAAGCGAAGTACACACTCAGCACATTTGTATCCAACTAGCCGTTGATAGTACACTGATAATGCAAATGATGCAAGCAGACGATCGGATTGGGAACGAAGTCTTCTGGCGGCCGCTTGCTGACAGCCGGCACAGGGGTCTTACCATCGTCGGAGCATCGTAGTGGAGGGTATCCATTATCGACCGTGCTCAACCCAAGGTCTTTGATGCTGCTGCGGTCGACCCGTTTCAAAGGCCTATACTACAGCCACTCGTACTATTTACGCAATCTTGCAGGTCATGCAAGCTTGGTTGCTGGGCTCTATCAGACGCCAGGTGCAGTATAACAAAGCCAGTATTACGCTCTATTTGTGTAGGTAGGCGGCATATACGGCCATGGCCTCTTGAGTCACCGTCATTTTCCAGAGATGCCATCACCTTCCCAGAAAGTCGGTAAGTTCAAGAACCGGTTCACCGAACATAACTGCCGCGGAGTGTCCCTGTTCTAGCGTACCAATCATTGTTCAACCAATCAGCCAAGACATTCATCCCTCTGAAGGTTGTCTAGTCGAAACTCTAGGTGATGTGCTTCAATGGGCATGCACTTGTGTGATGATGGTGGTGGTGATATAGCCCGCCATGATGATATCTGCGTAAGATGGATGCGCGCCACTGAATTTGATTTTGGAATGCCCAAATGTGTTACAATTGCGCATAAAATTGGATTGATACATAGTGGAGTAGCCGTGCCCCATTCCTCCCAAAAGCACGCATATCGAGCCCACGAGGCGTTGATCGTTTCTGCAACTGGATTCATTCTGCCCCGATGATGGATTTTCCAGGCCGTGCCACACTACAGCCCGCGTCGTGCCTCATGTCCAACAAAAGCAAGCAGATCCATGAGAGTGGGTGCTTATTGGTATTTGCCTAGTCTGGCTGTAAGACGTCCATGACTACCGCACTGATTATGCGCGGTTAACAAACCAGTGCCGAATGCAACCAACGTAGCGTTTTCTAAACGGTGCCAACTAAATAGTATTGTCATAACTCTGAGTAAAAAGCATCACCATCTACCATTGTCGTAAAAGTTTCGTTTTTGGACACGGGTATATTCGGTAGAACGTCGGCTTGAGCCGATGTGAAGAAGCCGCGATGCCGCGGCAGCAAGGCCGAACAGTGAAGGAGAGAATGTGTGAGAGCAACTGTCAATGGTCCGATTTCGAGCAAGCTGAGTCAACGGGTTTTAGCAAGGATTAATCCGGAGTCGCTAGTGGGAATTGCTAGCCTATATGCCGTGGTTCTGTGAGTCTAGCGAACATATTCTTCTAAGTGGCAGTATATCCGTGTTAAGTCTCCACACACACACACTATCGATGCCAGATGCTTGGGGCCTTTTCCCGTAAGACAATCAGTCTATCTTACAGTGGCAGTCGCACCATTGTAGAGAGCGGACGCTTATTGAAATGATTGGGCAACGTGGCCGCGGAGGAGACAAACACACAGGCTGGTTGGTACCTGGTCGTGCTTTGCAGTATCCTCTGCCATGGTAGCGAAGTGACTTGACCCGCATGTGGCCTCATGCCCTTGGCACGGTTGGAGTGTGAGGCAGCTCTATCAACCGTCTCCATGGCAGTAGTGAGCCAACTAGATGCTTAGTACTTAGGAGTTGAATAAAGGATGCTCGGGGTCACCTAGCGTACGGCCTAGCGTGTTTGCATACTATGCAGGGCCTTGACTTGGATTGAACGTATCAGCTTCACGTATCAACTCCACAGCTCAATTAGCAACGATAGTTTATCGGATGAAGGGAATGGGGCATGTGGATGTCCAAAAGCCTCTATCGGAGCAAGCGAGTCATCAGCGCTCTCTCGGAAGAAGCGGATTCAGCAAACTCTCACCTTGTTAGTAGGGTTCAGTTACCATTTAGAGCCATAGAAGCTTTGCAAGACCCCACACCGAACAATCTCTCAGCCCTGCCGCTACGGGCCATCCCTTGTCTAGCCAATCATTGTGATTAGCGCGCCGTGACTATGCTTGCATCCAACTACGCATACGCGCGACTTGTGGAGCCAACATGGTGATGAGACTAAACTTGAAATTTCGCTTCGCTGCAGCAAGCTACGATAAGTCGAAATCGATCTTTGTCGGAGTCAGTATTCTGGATCGAGTATGTTGAGCGATTGGCGACGCGATCAAAGATGCTGGCAACGTCTGACGTTGTACTCGCACAGCCTAGCGCAGTAACCTGGGTACCGTTACCGAGACAAGCGCCAAGCGCGCTAACCGAGATAAGCTGGCGTCAATCCCCCAACATCGACATTGATGCCGCCGGCTCAATTGCCATCTTCCGCGTAAGCGCCTCCGCCTGACAGCATCAATTCACTTGCACCGTTAACTCCGGGCCTGAACGTTCCCTGTGCCGATGCCCACGGACACCCGTGTCTGCTACGGCAGCCCGTGCCAGCTGGAGAGACCGCTGCGCTAATGACACCATGGCGGCGCCGACTAATCCCTTGGAGGGGGCCTACGGGTGTATATGCTCCGCGGAACAGCCACGCTCACCAGCCGCAGTACCAGGAAAGGGGCGAGAAGACCCAGCTCAGTACAATCCGGACGAGTCCGTTGCAACGACGACCATCAATAGCGAAGTTAAGCCCGCCTCAGTGTTCTTAGTCAAAATCCACGCCCCGTCACTATCAATGGGCCCGGGGTGGGTGGATGTTCAAGTCCAAGTCCACATGCATTTCTTAGACGCAGATCGTTCTTGCGCAATGATTCAGCCGGCCGGCACGGGGAAAGCGAAGCGCACAGTCCCAGGTACGTCAACGGACTTGCCACAGGAGCCAAACGGCCTGTTCGAGACTCCACTACCGGATCCCGTAGATTGATCTCTGCTCAACTCACTTGGTATCGGACTCCTCGCTCTCCGTCCATGTCGACGGGCTCAGATCCCTGCTTCTTTGTTGATCATGGAATGGAAGGAAAAGTTCATTTTGAGATCGTCTTGTGTATGCTGAGACAGCGGGACATCGATGGCTACTCAAGACGTTTCAACATTATGATGTTGACATCCACTGCTTTCAGAATCTCACAAGTCCTATGCGCGTCCTCGGGATGAATCCATGTCCTTTTGTGCTCAAGCCAGTCGGGTACCCACCAGGATTCTGTGCCAACGTGTTCTCGCAAAATATCTCACCAAGACATCACAAGTCCAATAAATGCATCTTCATAGAGCAATGCAACGATGATCACGAATATACAATTGACGATCATTGTGACTCAAAGAAAATATGTACATGCTTCAGTGCATAAAGATCTTCAAATCAATTCTAGTGTAAAGCACCCATTCCGCTAGGAGTTGAGCGAGGCCTCTTGTCACGCACTCAACCCCCCTTTTTCCCGCAACAAATTCGCCTTTCTGTTCATTTTCTCTCACGATAGGAGTCGACCTAAGAAGCAGCAAGATTTACCCAAGCACCCCTGACAAACACTTACGCTATATACACACAAACCATCCTTCACTGGCTACAGTTTGAAGTCACACACATCATCAATCTAACTCCTTCTCACCAGAGAATAGCTTCCTATACGATTATCAACAAAGCACCACCTTGCCAGCTCGTACATACTCGACAACCCCAAAGACTTACTGAACAGAAAGTCCGATACTCGACTCCGATACATACATATAAACCTTTACAGGCACACACACACACACATACATCGTCCCCAGTTCGTCCCTTTAGAGAGCAATTCAACCAAACCCCTTGTCTTCTCCTTTCCTTGAAAAAAAAAAGAAAGACCATGTGCACAACGCGGTTCATCCTTACAAGGCATGTTGCAATGTTGTCTGAGAAAAGGTCGCCACAGCCCACGACATGAAACTAGGAACTGTTAAATCACGTTGAATGTTTTTCAAAGACGACCCGAATACATTATGTGGAATAATAAATACAAGGGAGCGAAAGGTGAAGCTATGTAACAGAGTATGCCAACGTATCGGCGATTATATCTCGAAGACCACCAGTAACACCTAGCCATCACCAATCATCCCAAGCAGTATCACACGGCATCTCCCAACACATTTCTCAATACCACATACATACATACATACATCCAATTATCCAATAATCTAATTGATAGAGCTATAAATGACCTTCCTTGCTTTCTTGCTCCACCACAACACCCCTCTCCTCACCTCGCCTCGCCTTCTCCCCCAACCCCACCCCCTTCCTCCTCGCCTGAACAACAGCATGCAAACACTTCCCCACAGCCTCCAAATCTCCCAACAACGTAACATGGCCGCGATCACTCGACACCACACCCCCCTTCACAACACTGTACCCAGACGGCACCATAGCTGCGCGAGCCAGTACAACGCCATCTCCACTCGCAAATGCAAGTTCATCGTACACATCCGCGCGCTTGATAGCTTCCCTGCTTTCCACCTTCGCGCCGTAAACCGTGGGAATGGATTTACCGTAAATCAGGGCGATGGGGGGATACCGGTTTGCGGCCGTGTGTTCGGGTCGGTGATCGAGTTCTTGCTTGAACTTCTTGACTTCTGCCAGGGTGCGAGTTAGGTACTCAACAGCCTTATTGTACGGGATGGTAACGTGGGTTGCGGGGTTAGGTTCTTTGGAGGTCTCGGTGGCCTGGTTGTGGCCCATTTGCGGGCCCATGCCCGCTTGCTCGGCGCTGCCCTCTGTGACGGCGTTTGCAGCGTTGCGGGCTACGTCAGAAGCGTCTTTTGCGGAGCTGTTTTTGCGGGGAGGAAAGGTAGGGAGGACATTTGAGACGGCGTTCATGAGGCCGCTCACGCTGAAGGTGCTGTCTTTGGGGGGCTCGGGGCGCGGCAGGGGTGCTGCTATGCAAGGAGAGAGGCGGTGTTCCTTCCAGGTGTTTACATCAAAGAAGTCGACGGGATATTCCTCTTTGGTGTGCTTGTTGATGAAACACTTTCCGTCGAGGGGCAGTAGTGCGAAGGATGTGCGAATGCTAAAGTTTACTTGAGCGGTCAGGACACGAGAGGATAAGAGTACGTCGTCCCCGTTACGGAAGGGACCGAGGATATTGACACATCGCTGAGGTACTCCAGCGTAAACGACTCCAGCAACAAGTTCAGGACGCTGATTGATCACATGGCGGGTGATTAGACCACCTAGTGAGTGTGCAATCATCGTAGCGCCCCGCTTCTCTGGAGGTACTCCCGGTTGATTACAAGGCAGTGTTTCAAGAAACTTAATCATCTGCCTACTGAGAAAATGTGGCGATAGTCTCCAATCGTACCCGTAGTTGTGTATTCTCAGCTTTCCCTCCTTAGCGTTATCGCTCGCCTTCAATCGCTTGAAAAGGCGTTTTGCAATATCAACCGGGCCAATATGGGTCAGCATACCACTGGGAATAATGGTCTCATGCATCTTCTCATCAGCATCTGGATCGAGAGGCACCTCAAGATCTACCTTTCGTAGATTTAGTCCAACCTTGATAGGCACCCACAATTGCCGATGGGGAGGTTCCGCTGAGCGCAAAACGGAGCCACGATAGCCTCCCAATATCACCAGATCTCCCTCTATTTCTTGGAGAGCCTGTGTGAAGTAAGGGTGCATTTCCTCCGCATCTCCAGGGCGGAGCGAAGATCTCTTCAGTTTTAAAGAGTCACTGCGTGGTGTCGGTCCAGATGTACTTCCACGAAGACCCGCTCGAGACGCAGGTCTTTCCTCAGTATCACGTGCCTTGGATACATTGCTGAAGTTACGGTTCCTGAACAACTCGGTACTGGAGCTCAGGTTGAAATTGTGGAGTGAAGGACTTGGAAGCTTGAAGTTCGAGTCTTGCCAACTGTCTTTCAGAGCCTTAAGCCTGCTGTTGACCTGTTCATTTACACTTTCAAAACGCGAGTCGTCGCCCAAGGAAGACGCAAGAGATCTTGTCCGATACAAGAGCAGAGACCCTTCGGAGTTGGAACGACGCAGGCTAGGCGCCGGCCGTTCGACTGGCGTTTGACTTGTTGGAGAAAGAGTGGATGAGCTGCTGTCGCTGAATTCACGCTGTGGTATTGGAGTAGTGTTGGACCGCTGAGAACCATTTGAAAAATTGCTCGACTTGTTTCTAGAGGCATCAGGCGTGGACTGACGAGCACCGTCGTGTTGTGGTATGTTCTGAGGTTGTGGTGGGTTGGCGAGCGTATCCCGCCTCCTCTTACTAGATTGCTTTGGGGCAGTGTCTACTGATGAAGATGACAGACTCGGTAGCGAAAAATGCATGTCTTTGTAAGACTTGGTAAGCGAGGCTGGTATATTAAAGTTTATGTATTTGCGCACAGCCTCGCCCATTGAGCTTCCTGAGGACGCTCGCCTTCGCCCATTATGCAGGTGCTGGCGCAGCATAGCGCGATGATCGCCCTGCTTCTCCTTCTGGAATGTCTTTGGGCCGGCGCGCCATGGTGAGGGAAGGCGCGTTGGCGGATCCGATTGTTGCCCACGGCCGGCATTCCTTGCCGTCTGGGCAGGCGCTGGCTTGAGGTCGGGCTTCTCGGTATGCTTGGGTGTCGCTGTCGGTGACTCTGGTGTGCGTGCAGGCGATGCCGGTGTTTTCCGTTCTGGAGACGCTTCGGCAGCCTCCTGCCAGCCGTCGAAGAAGGCCCCATCTTCGGTCGCGTCGAGAGCAGCAGCTTTTTCCGCAGCTGGTGTCTTTGGGGAGGTGAGACGCGTCTGCTGTCTGCCAATGCTGACGCCTATGGCTGACTGCACCGTCTCGAGTTCCAAGGCCCTCTCTTCTGGCGTCTCATCCTCGGAAGGAGTGAGGTCGCCGTCGATGATAGAGGCGAATTGGATCTCGGCGAGGGCATTTTGACGGCGAGGCTGGCTGCTGGCTGCAGTGGGAGCTGGCTCTGCCATGTTGTTATTGGTGGTGGATGTTTGCGTTGGCTGCAATCATGGCGAGAGAGCCGAGTTGAGTCGTCATGCCTACGGCACCTTGCTCATGTCGTTGTGTGGCAGTGTTAGCTATCCGCCCACTGCCGAGGGCAAAGGACACTATAGGCCTTTGACCTGGCGGAGAGGCCTATCTCAACTCCTGCCATCTCTTTGCAGACGAAGCGACGGTCGCTACTGTGTCTGGAAATGGTGTGAAAACTGTAATGGCGACACGATTCGATGGAAACGTTAAACGTCACACGTGAAGCGCGTCTTTGTCCCCGATTGCGTCTGCCCAGCCACCAGCCACAAACGCCACGCTGTACCTTAGTCAGCCCACGTTGCTTACATGTGAGAATCGACCAATAAGACAATGCAGGATAAGCTCTCCGATTGCTCGAGTGTTTTATTGCAATAGTAGTCGAGATGTGCAATAACATCTCCACCATACGAAAACTCCTCCCCAGGTTAAATTTCACAGAGAATCCTGGATATGACGGTACAAATAGTACTGATTCAGCAATGGCGACTTGAGTGATCTATCTCTGGATGAAAGCCAGTATCTACAGTGCTAGACATGACAATCTATAGGATGCTCTAGGCATTTACAGATTCTTCCAACTGCCGGCATCTCACTCGATACGCCCATTGGCATTTCTTGGAAACAGCGCGGGGATTCACCGTCAATGCTGTCATTTCCTCTCTTTTTATCGTTGAATCCAATGCTATTTCACTTCAAGATAAATCTACTCACGCGATCAATCTTGCCACACAAGCACTTTTTCCCTCTATTTTTCATTTAACTACTGTCATACAGCATAGTATCTGTAGCACATGCGATTGCGACTCCAATTGCGGCTCCGAGCTTTTCCGTTGTGGTACACAAGCTAGCCTCGGATGTCATGCCTCTCAGGAACAAGTCAGCCGATCGCCATCAGACCACCACTCAGACACGTCCAAATAACAGCGCATGTGGCCCCTCGCTACCGATGGGGTAATCGATTTCATAATGCGGGGCAGTTTAGACATACAAATCGTCATCGCTACCGGTTCCTTCTCGCGTTCAGCCGAGCATTCGCCGTCCGCCCGACGACAAGCGAGGCAGCGACCGCTTGTCGTCACGCAATGTCAAGCATGTGCATGCTGATCGACTGCCGAGTGGATGCATAAGTAGGGATTCTCATGCTCTAGTGTCTGTGCTGAGTGAAGAATATGATCCAAGTTTGCAGTGCACGGATCGACGTTGAATCTTGAAGTCAAATTTGAATATATTTATAAGAGGGAGCAGCAGTGATAAATAACCATCTTGTCCAACCCGCCTTGGAATCCTACACTCAAAGTTTCAATCTGCTTGGAAGACTCGCACTCGATTTTCATATTCAATTCAAATCGTACGATAATTTCAAAAACAGCAATGGCATCTCTACTCCACCTCCCAGCTCCCCTCCCGCCAACATCCCTCACACTGGGCCAACTCATTACCGACCCCCTCTCCGACACCTCCATATCCCACACCCCATCAATCACCCTCGACGAAACCAATCACGTCACAACCGCCCAAAAAACAACCCTCAAAACCCTCACGAATCCCACCACATTCCTCTCTCACCTCGCCCACTCCCCGCAAACCCTCTCCTTCCTCCGCAAAACAACCCTCCAAGGCAAACCAATCTACCTCGTCACCGCCCTGGAAACCGCACAAAAGCCCTCCTCCTCCACTACCGCCTCCTCAACTTCCGTCCGCCGCGTAGACTCAGCATCAGACATCCACTCTAAATCCTCAAAGCAATCAGCGGATGAGTCGATAGTAGCGGTCGGGCTGAGGGAGGTGAAATGTAAAGTCGAAGATAGAGAAGCACCACATGCGTTGGAGGATATTGGGTTTGAGTGGGGGTATTACGAGGATGGGGAGGATGATGGACAGGTGGCTGTTGGGTTAGGAGGAGTACTGAGTGTTGATGGGGAGGGCGCGAAGGACGGTAGGGGGAAGAAGGAACAAAGAGAGGAAGAGGATAGTGGAGACGAGGGGATTGGGGGGTTTTGAGGGACGTCTTTCATGATCACTTTTTTCACTGTCGATGAGCAATGCTGGGAGGGGGGGTTTTCTTTTTCGACGATACTTCACGTTGATGATTGAAATTGGGGATTAGGAATGACTAAATGGACGAAATGGTTCGCAAAGGGACAGAACAAGAGCGGGAATGACGCTTAGTGGTATAGCATGGGTATACGGCGTTAGAAATATTTTGCACATGTATGCAGTTTTACAAGCTAAAGATTTTGAGAAGCATACTTGATCTTCCTTGGAGTCTTCTTCGAAAATTTTAGCGTGGTGAACAGTTGACCACCTCTACAAACCCTTATCCTTGCTGTTCAGACATTTGTTCAAACATACACATAGCTCATCCCATGCGGCAAAGACTAGATTAAACAAACGCTCAATACTTGAGATCCAGATTCAATTCCACGCAAGTCCTGCTCTAGCAGAGCATCTATGGTTTTCATATTCTAACAAAAACCCATAGACGAAACACGTAATCGTTCACCATCTGAACAATCATAATGGTACAAGTAACACCCAAACTCCCCAGACCCAAACATACAATACAAAAGCCTTACTTGGACCTAAATAGACTCTCCAGTATCAGCTCTGGGACGAATACCATCAGCAGAGAAAGCCCAGCCACGGCCTTCAGTCGGCGTCATAGCCCTCCGCTTCTCCACAGGACTCCAATCCATACCGGGAGCAGGCAACCCCGCAATAGCCGCATCGTCTCTTGCTCTCTGCCTACTACTGCTCCTACGATGCCCAGCACCATCGGGCCTGGAATATGCAGTCGCCTCTTTTGCACCATTGAGCCCCTCCGGATCCGTAACCAACCGCACACCAGCAGAGCGCTGACGTTCTTTCTCAGCATTCAACCGCTTCCCCTCGGCCTTCTTCTTCTCAAACTCAATAATCAGCGTCTTGAAATATGCTTCTGCCGCGCTCGTCGCGCTGTAGTGCACCGGTGTCCAACTGTAACTATTGCTCGCAACCGGATTTGCACCGTACTGCAGCAGCATACGTAGTGCTTTCAGCTCGCCAGCGGCAGAAGCATGATGTAGCGCGGTATTGCCCTGGTTATCGCATGCAGAGAGAATATTCGTGCCGTGCATGATCAGCGTGGGAATCAAGTGCAAGGTGCCAGACCCTGACTTGCACGCTAGCATCAGCGCATCCAAGCCCGTCTTGTTCTTCCAGCCCACGCATTCGGGGAATCGCTTGGCAAGGTAGACGCCGCATTCTTCTTTGCCGGCCATGGCGGCGAGCATCAGTGGCGTCTCCCAGTCATTGTTGCGACTGATCATGCCGTCTTCATGGCCAGCATCGACGAGGAATTCGGCGATGGTGGTGAAGCCATGCTTTGCGGCGAGGTGCAGCGAGGTGTTTGAGCGATCGTCAAAGTCTGGGTTGCGGATGTAGTTTGGGTTGTTGCGAATGATGCGCTTGACCAGCGGGAGGTCGTTCAGTAGGATGGCGCGCCGCAGACGCCGGGGTACGTCAATCCTGGTGCTGGTGTCAGGACAATCATGATGTCCATCTTATGCATTGGCGCATGTGGAATTGACAAGAGAAGACTTACATGGCTGCCCCAATCAAGCATGTTGTAGTTCCCAAGAGAGCATTGGCAATCTGGTCAAGTCGTGACGTGAGGGAGAACGGGCAGTGGGGCAGCAACGCGTTGGGTCTTGAGCTGGTTGCGGGGGCTACTAATTCACGAAACGGCGTCTTGCTGCAACCGGCTAGAACATGCATCGATGTGCGGCATGGATGTTCTTTTGGTTAGGTACGCTTGCCTTTTGTCACATGTTTCTGCATCAGTAGTGGTATACAGGCACTCTTGTGAACTTTGCGTTGTCTCAAGTCTGTTCTATTCATGCATCATTAACATGTTGATCTATCTCGTCTCTGCAAGCGCTTCCTAATACCAGTTCCGCACATGGCTATCGTACACGCTCGACTATCAGACCCCGCTTACAAGCCCTCAAAGTCACCAGCCGCATCATCCTCATCAATGTCTCCATCCTGAATCTCCTTGGCCAACTCGCGCTCCCTCTCGCGCGCCTCCTGTGCGTTCTTAAGTTCCAGGCGGTGTTGGTTCATTGGGTAGCGCATTGCCTTGACACATTCGTCATGCAGAGTCAGGCACGCGCGAATGCGTTCGTGGAACGCCTCGCCGGGCTCACGGGTTGCGTAGATGTCTCCAGCCACCTTTGTCTGCATAAAGCCCTTCTCGTGGTCAATTGACGCCTCGATCACTCCATCGCGGATAGCCTTTGCGACAATGTACTCGGCCGACTCTTCACTCTCGAGACCAAGGCGGATGCAAATGTCGCGGAGCGAAATGCGCGAGTAGGAAAGCGACAGCATACGGATGCCCGTCTTGATGACGTTTTGTCGCAGACGAAGAATAAGCGTGTAGGTGCCATCACGGTGGAAGACGGATGACGATTGTTGAACCACCTTCAAGAAGCCCTGCAAGTCACCCACACGGACAGCCTGGACCAGACGGAAGTAGGGCTCCATGGCACGCTCCAAGCGGGGCTGGCTGAAGACATCGCGCTCGGGAATGTCACCCATCAACAGCTCGACAACGCAAAGCAGCTTCATGGAAGCCTGATAGAAGCCAGTTGCGCAGTGCGCAGATGGCGACTTGCGGGTCGCGCTGGTCAGGTGCTCGTGTGCCTCGGTGTAGGACAGCTGGATAGCCCTTATGCGGCCAAGGTAGTACAGGTACCTCGCAACCTGGTTATTGGGAGCATTGGGTGGGAACTGTGTCTGCGCCACAAGCAAATCGGCTTGTGTGATGTCGGCAGTCGAGAGGTAGTTTCGGAGCAGCAGCGTAGTGACAGACGCTTGGGTATCGGGGTCTTTTCGGAGAACAGCACTTCGGAGAGCAGCAAGCAGCTTTCCACGGATAGTGATAACGGCCGATTGCTTGGATGGGGGCTTGGGGTCCATCTCCTCGTGGAAGAGCGAGAAGTAAAAATAGGCCTTTGCCGCGAGCGAGTCAAGTGTCCGTCTGTTCAGTTCTCGGATCTTGTCTACCAGCTTCTCGGAGAACTCTGCGCCCTCTTCAAACTCCTTCTGGTCGTAGAGATATACCTTTTGCCGTCAGTCGCTGCCCGCCCTGCACCCATAACGAACATACCTGTATCAAGATGGCTATGTAGACATCCACCTCGGGCAATGGCTCCTTGGTGCTGCTTTTGTTGAGTTGTACCTCCTCCTTATACTGAGATACAACGCTCTGTATCGCCTCGCCGTCCATGCCGATGTACTCGATGAAAGTCCGGGCTGTGGTGTTGTTGGGCTGGTATGTCAAGATGACGACGGAACATAGTACACGGTCGGTGAGTCTCTTGCGGAGAGAAGATATTGAACGGAGAGCGCGCAGAGTGAAGCGGGTATCGAACTGCGCCACGGCGCGCTCAAGAAGGACAAAGTTGCTGCGGATATCTACAGTCGTCGGATCAGCACTCTGGTCGAGGTACTTGCAGGCCGCACTCTCGGTGGCAATCATGTGGTTGGAACACATCTTGCGGACCGACCATGCCGTCATGCAGTCGGCACAGGGGCATTTTGAGGTAAAAGGCATGCTGTATGGCGCAAATTGGGCGACTTACCGGCAATGGCCTTCTGCTCCACGTTCTCGGTTTTGGGCGCCTCGCCCGCCGTAACGACGCCTTCCATGCTGTCCGCCATAATGGTCGCTCTTGTGATTTCTGCGGATTGAGAGGAAGGTGCGGAGCGAAGATCTGGGACAATGAAGGTTGGCAGTGGTGAGCGAGGGTTGGTAGTGTTGATGCTTAGCTGAGGGTGGAGCTCCCAGCTTCACTGACGCCAGCGCGGAACATCGGGGAATAGTTATCGAGCACCGAGCGCCCGCCATTGTTTACCCCCGCGTCGCCCTAGCATACCCTCCTCGTGTTCAAGAATTGCACATAATGACGCTTCTAGACGCGTATCTGGAGCAAATATCGCTTTGCTCGGCTTCTATCGCTGAACTACCGTATGTCCCTCGCCTGTGGACTGCACCCTTCGACTGAACCCGTCCCAGATTCGCCCCGCCAAAAATATTCACCAATGCGCTGCTGCAAAACCATGATATCACCAGCCTGATTCGCGATACCGAGCTGCATGAGAGAGCCCTTTTCTCGGTTCCTCCGCCACCAGCAGCCCCCAAACATGCGGAACCCGCTCCACCGACCAACAGGCGCAACACTATCTTCAACCCCAATGGAGGGAGTGGTACTAGCATATCTGGAGGCGGCGCCAATGCAGTAAGAGCACCTAGACGTAACACAGCTGTCGCTGCAGTTTTGGGCAATGAGCTAGTAGAGAGGATACGGAGAGGTGGTGGAGGAGGTGCGGGTTCAGGCTTGGGTTACAGAATGTATAACCCCAACAACAAGAACGAAATAGACGTCGAGTCGCTGTTGGAAGGAGCCGAGAAGCTTCTTGGTGTCTAGTATGTTTATTCAAAGAGCATGAGTCTCAACCTTGCTAACTGGACTCAGCCCAATACCAGGCGTGCACGATAAGATTGCAACCTTGCGCCAACGATATGCTCAAGTCGCAGCATCCGTACAATACTACGAAGAGAGACTAGCAGAACAGCAAGTGCAGCTCGAACAGCTGAATCGATCACGAGAGGATTACATAGATGAGGCTGACGAGACACAATATGAGCCTGAGCCAGTTGCGCCTTTAACTGAGGAAGACTTGCGACGAGAAGAAGAGGAAGCTCGCCAGCTAGAAAAGAAGAAAAAGGAGCTTGAAGCCCGTGTTCATTCAATGTCGAGAGACATTTCTGGCCTGCGATGATGATCTGCTGGCGTTGCAATAAGGGCCTAGACCCAAGAGTTACAATAAGATACCCCGTTTCTTTTGCAAGCATCCGCGTTTTCCATGCTCATTTCTGACCTCAGATCAAATCAGGATAAAGGTCCGGCCAAGGAAAAAAATCCTCTGAAACTATTGGACACACGCTGTAGCTGACTGCATTAGCTTAATAAGCTGGCACATGGGTCGCCTCATAATCCATTCTATATAAATGGGCCTTGAAGATAAATGTTCTAAGGAAAGCTATCTGAAAAAGACTTCTGACCGAAGAATACAACCATCATGATAGACTTCTCTCTCACACCTGAACAAAGGGAGCTCCGGGCCAATGTCCACGCCTTTGCTAACACCGTTCTATCCAAGGCCCCGACCTATTACTCTCACCTTACCGCACAGACAGAGCGCTTTCAATCCACCCTCCCCATATATCAGACTGCCGTATCCGCAGGTCTTATCAAGGGCCAAATTCCCATACCCCTAGGGGGCACTTCTGCCGGACTCGTTGACGCAGCCATTGTGATAGAAGAGCTCCATGCCGTAGAGCCAAGTACTGCAATCACTATCTTGGGTACTGGACTGGGTCTTACGCCTTTGATCCTAGCCGGAAGCAAGGAGCAACATGAGAAATTCCTTGCGCCATTTTTAGAACAGACGGGGGAGAGACTCGCAAGTTTTGTACATAGTGAGCCTCAGGGAACCGCTAATTGGCTGGAGAAAGGAGCACCAGGCTTGCAGACCACAGCGTATTTACAGGGAGAAGAATGGATAATCAATGGGGATAAGGTGTGTCTTGAACAAACTATTGAGTTTTTTGATCCTTTCACAATAACTGTGTCATATATATTTTACACTAACAGCTATCTAGCTATGGACCACCAACTCTGGCGGCTGGGACCAGCGTGGAGCCGACCTCCAATGCATCGTTTGCCGACAAGGAAAACCTGATGTCCCCCAAGACCCAGATTCAGACCCAATCTCGAACATCCTCATCCTCCTGGTCACACGATCTGATATTGCCTCTAACGACCCCTCCGCCTACCAAGTCCTCGCAGATCCCTCGCTTGGGGGTCACAAATCCGTCAATGGGCCCCACTCCCGCTTCACAAACTTCCGAGTCCCTGCCGCCAATGTCCTCGCCAAACCAGGAGAGGGCGCCCAAGTAGTCGAACAGACTTTTGGTACGTCTGCAGCTATTGTCGGCGCAATGTGCGTTGGCGTCATGCGCCACGCGTTCGAAGCTGCGCTCGCCTTTTGCAAAAACGAAAATCGAGGCGGAAAGATTCCTGTGCTGGAACACCAAAGTGTGAGCGATAGACTGATTGATGCCAAAATGAAGATTGAAGCTGCGCGTGCATTGGTATGGAAGGCCATGTGTGTGCTGGAAAGCAAAGAGGAGAAGGTGGGTTGGCAGGCGAGATTGGAAGTTGCTCTTGAAGCAAAGATTTGGTGTAGTGAGCAGGTCACTCAGGTGGTGCTGGGGTGTATGAGCGTTGTGGGCATGTAAGTTGCTTATCCTTTTTGTCTAAGATGACAACGTGTGGTCAAGACACTAATGGGATATGTGTATAGGAAATCTTACGCTGAAGATATGCCGTTTTCGAAGATTTTGCAGGATGCGGCGTGTCTTCCGTTGTTTGATGGTGGCAATGTCGGGGTCAGGAGACGGCAGCTTGAGAAGATTTTCCAGGAAGATAGTTATCAGCCTTGGGGCGCAACTTATCCGGAACAATAGCTGGGCTGATGAATGGGTCTTGTTAACTTGGAGCTCGGTGTAGGTAAGAGTCATGGATGCTCCACACCTAACCAATACAAGCCCTTGCTTGGCTGCGCTTTTGTATATACAGTGATAATACTAGGTACAATTAACGCGCTGAGAGATGATTCAAATCGTTCAATACGCTGGCGCTCCCATGCTATGCTGACTTCTTAACATACTCTACCGGGCCCTTGTAGGTACTTCTACCGAAGAGAAAATAGTACACCATTGCAACGCCGAAAAGAACGCTGAACATAAGACGTGACCAATTCATGTTTACCAACGAGGGGTATGGCGCTTCCGGGAAGGCGAGGAAGACAATTGCAAGCGAATTATACGAAATAGCGCCAAAATTCACTAAGATGCCTGCTCTACCGAGATTGAAGCGAGAAGGAAGGAGAGGCTCTCCAAGCAACCTTCTTCTCAGCATGCAGCTAATCACTGTGGTATCGCCGATTGAGCCACTGAAAGTTCCCAAGGCCATTATGATGTTGAAAGCGAGGGGCGAAATTATGATGATAAGACATACAAGTGCCGTAAACATAAAGGTAAAAACTACCGAATTGATGGGAATATCCCGGCCTCTAGGAACCTACAAAGCGTATTAGCCAAAAATCTCGAATACCGCAGGTGTCGATGAAAAGGAGCCAGCCATACATTAGAAAGCCACACCGAAAACGGTAACCCCCCATCCCTCGCAAACGACCACAACTGTCTCGACGCAGCCGTCAACTGATTGATACAGGCAAACAGCATCATCAGGACAACCACCACCGTCAGTACATTCGCTGCAACCCTCGACTCAGTCGCATTAGCCAGAATCTGTATCCACGGCTGTCCCAACTCCGTCTCCCTCACGCCTCCCCTCTCTGTCCCCAGATTCGAAAAAATCGTCACAGTCATCACAAACGCGAGCACATAATTCGTAAGCGACGTGGCCACCATAGCCCTCGGCATCACATCCGCCGCATCCTCTACCTCCTCAGCAAGATGCACAGCGAGATCCGACCCGCCAATCGTCAACGACGGACCCAGTATCCCCACGAGCGTCGCAAGTCCTTTGTTCCCCCAACCGCTCGGATCGTCAAACTGCGTCCATGTATCATGTGCGTTTGCGCGGGGCCCCATGACCCAGAGGACGACGATAAAGGCGAAGAACGATAGCATGTGCAGAGTTAGCGCTATGCCCTCCATCAAGGGTAGTTTGTTGACGAGGAGCGTGTTCCAGAGGATAGAAGAGAGGGTTATGGATATAGAGAGGAGGGTCCCGTGCCAGCCTTTTATCGTGTATGAGGGGAGATTTAGGGCGATGAGGCTTTGGATTTGCTGGGCTACGGCGTAGGATGTGACTGCGACATTGACCTGCCAGGCGATGACTGTGAGCCAGCCTTTGGGTAAACCGACTGGTTAGCGGGGTATGAATTGGGTGGGCAGAGAAGGGGTGAGGTGGTGGCTTACCGACTACGTAACTTATGAATTTTTGCTGTTTGGGTGGTGCGACTTCGGATACCCAGTGATACTGACCACCAGCTATTGGGGCCCTTGTAGAGTTAGTGGGCTGTTTTTTTTTGGAGATGGGTGGGTGTGTTCATGTACATAGAGACCATTTCTGCGAAGGAAAGGGTAACGCACAGCATGCCGAAGCAGACAACGAGGAGCATCCATATACCGCCGGCAGGTCCTCCGTTGTAGAGGGAGATACCCGTTCCGCTTTGAAGATATGTCAGCTTGCTTCTGGATCAGTTGAGTTGAGGACGTACATCAGTGCGTATTCCCATGTGCAACCAAGGACGACGCCAAATCCATAGATGGTCAAAAACTTGAATTGTCGCTGAGACCATGTTGGTATCTTGCAGCTCTACTACAAAGCTCGTGAACGTACCCTGAGCTGTTGACGTTTGCCCATGCGATCCATATCTCGTTCGTCTCTTTGCGTGCCATGTATTTTGTTTACAGTAGGCGTATTTGCTAGTTCAATGCTTTCGTCGGAATTGACCGTATCTATAAGGCCTTTCATGTTCGCTAGATCTTTTTCCAAGACAAGAGCATCAGGCAGAGAAGTGAAACATGTGGACGATGGCCCAAAAAACGATGAAGGTTTGTAACACAAAGACCTTTGATGATATTTCTCAGCAGGGCGCCTCTGACATGTGAACGATGATTAATCTTGATGGAGTATTTCAGGGATGTTAGATCGCTCCCGCGAAGTGCCTGTTATTCGACAAGATTAAGTTTGTGGTGTTGCAAGGACGTGAGACTCCATGCAATTTTGTATGGGTCTTTGATAATGCACCGGGAAATGCACTATTTAGGAAATCTGGTGTATGATCACTATAAGGCAGATCATAGGACGCCACTGTAGACCTGTTCCAGGAACGAATAATCGTACGATGATAACTGCCCAGCGAACATACCAAGAGTGGGGGCAATTTTTTGAAACTATCAAGAAACTCTACTCGTACACACACAGTCAGCGGAGAGTCCAGAATCAGCATCAATCTTCAACTGAGAAAGCATGCCAACGACATAAAACCGAAATAGGTAGGTAGAGCGGACACCTAGCCAGTTGCGATCGCCGTTGAGGTCAGAAATTAGTGCAATGAAGACTACAGCCAAGCGAAGTTGCGGCCCGTTCATGCTGAACATTTCCAGCCACCAAAATCTTTTCTTCCTCTCGGATTCTCGCGGGATGATAGATACCTCAGAAATATATTAATGACTTAAAAACCCTTTCGGTATGGCTTTACCAGTGCATCGGTACTTGCACCCCCGCCATGTAGCCAAACGCATTGACTCGAACTTGCGAACTCCGCATTTTGGACAACATCCACGTATCAGGATGTATCATTCTTACAAACCCATGCAATCTTAGTCGCTGTATCGTATCCGATAGGAGTCCTTTTTTCCGTGTTACTGTGAAGTTGTGAGGCAACTGCCGAACAGTAACACAAAGATACCAGAGGTGAGGCTGCCGGTTCGGTACTTCGGCTGTAATCATGTCATATACAGTTTGGATTGCGTGGCAGGCCAATATACGAGGCAAGATCTTTCATCAGCATGGCCAAAACTAGGGATAAATTTTTGGAATTTGAAATACTGCTAGCGCATTTTGTAAATGGTAGCACAATGTACTGATATCATTGGCCTAGCGATTGATTCCGTACTTTGTTATTCTGCCTTGCTAACCACTTTAATGGGCCTTAGGTGACCAGGGGAAAGGCAAACGAGTTTCTTTTGGTGTTTCATTAAATTTTCGCCTTTGTGTCTGCTTCACTGAAGGTAATAAATGGCTTTCTCAACTGCGTCTCCATCAGATTACCGTTTCGCTCGCATCACACCACACGATCATAGCGCTACGCTATGGATAATTACTATTCTCTCGCCCATATATGCTACCTTGGTCCTTGGGGTACGCCTAGGGTACACTAAATGGAGAGCATATAGCGTTGATGACCTTCTCATTGTCTTGGCACACGTATGAATTTAAGCTCCTCTACTTTTCCATTGAGGCAAACACTCCTGACTCTTATGCAGATTGTGGGAACTGGAATGTGGATAATACTACTGACGTCTATTGGACATGGTCTTGGAAAATCATATGATATCCTTGATGATGTAGACATATTACGAGTGCAGCAGGTTAGTAACAGAAGAAAACAGCGAGAGCACGAGCTGAACTTGCCATCAGACCTTCTTTGCTACCCGAATCCTGCTTTATATCGCACTCGCCTTCTCGAAGAGCTCTATTCTTATCCTAATCTCAGATGTCTTTGGGCGCATGCCCAAAGTCACATACACAGCCAATGCTACCATCGCGTTTCTCGCGATATGGGGCATATCTGGAGTGATATCAGTTCCTCTTGGGTGTAAAATTGAGAGCATTATACCCAAGTCTGGATTTAATCACTGTGTGCATTCTGTAAGTCTTCTCAACCCCCCTGCTCAAGTATCCGCTAATGGATCAGATTCCTTGGATCCAGGCGCTTACTATTATTGATATTATCACCGAACTCTTCACTGTTCTAACACCGCTTTTGGGTCTATATCGTAATAAAATGCATGTTGAGGATAAGGCTGTCGTCATGGTGGCTTTTTTCACTCGAATACCGTAAGTCGCCTTCTCGTCCATACATGGTATTGTTGAGAAAGCACCAACAATATCCTTCTAGAAATGTCGTTTTCTCTCTCATTCATATGATTGCATATTCAAAATTCGTCAAGGAGCGTCAGACCGCTATCCAAGTCGTTCCAACCGTCGTTTGGCAAAGCACTCTTCTATGTTACAGCCTCATATCTGCTACAACACCCACACTCAAGGGTTTTACCCAAGGATTCAAAACTACTGGCTTATCTATAGAATATGCTCGAGATCCAGTAACGGGTGAGCTTAGTGGGGCACGAACGAGTATCGCGTTGAATCCCTTAACATCAAAGTCAAGCTCAAACGCTTCACCAAATGGGACCGTTTTACAAGCCCACAGTATGTCGATACAAGACAACTCGACAGAGAACTACAAAACAGCCACTCTAGTTTCAAGGTCAAGAGATGGGTTACGGTGCTGCCGTGATGAGAGCTCTTCGATAGCCAGCTGCGAGTCTCGTCAAGTTATGATTAAGCAGGAATGGAGGGTCTCAGATAGCTATAGGTTGTGAAAGGTAAACCATTATGATAATCTAAAAAAGGGATGATGAAATGCTGTAGAACTCCTTAGTTGAAACGGGTTTATATTGGTGCTGCATCGTTATAACCTCACTACCAAACGCCCGCCTACCAGACCTTGCTAACGAGGTCGAAATCGCAAAAGTATTGAACACGGATATCTCGGCTCCCATATAATTGCTAACTAAATCAAAAGACTCTAGATCTTTAAGTATAGGGACTTGATAGTTGATGCACCCTATTCGTGATTTGTGGGAATTTTAAACGAAAGGACTCGATTCATTCGTATTATATAGTACAATAAAGATAATCCGTTCACTCAGTAGTAAGACTCGCGGATCAATGCTATCTACGCCGGCTTGATACTGGCATCACTACGATACTGATCTGCAGTAAGAGCTTTAGTAGCTCTCTCCATCTCAAAAGGGGTTTTTGTACTACGATCATAAATGAGTACTGAGCGACTAAAGACAATAAAGCTCTGATCTAGATTGACGCCCAAGATATCATTGTGTGCAACAAGGCTATTCATTGCATTTCTGAACCTGACAACACTTAGGTTGCCATCACAGAGCCAAAACTTCAGGACGGCGTTGATAGTTGGGTTCTCGTAACCGCCGTAATAAGGGCGGGAGTCGAGGCCTGGTACTGAAGTGTGGATACTAGCGTTGTAAATAGTATGAGGTGGCATGGACTCAAGAAGTGTTTGCATGATAGTGGCGGCAAATGTGCTGTTGTCGAATGAGGAGCTGTTGGCGTTGGAACTGTTTGAAAAGGCCCAGTAAAAAGCATTGAAGGACGAATCAGATGGCTGACAAGTGCTATTGAGTTTTTCAAAAACCTCTGTGGCATACATGCTAATGGAGGCTGAAAAGTCGCTAAAGGCATTGCCATCTGGGCCGATGACTGCGACAGTATAGTTGTTTGATGGCGGAGTGGCGAAAGCGTCCTGAGAACGGCTGTATAACTCCGTCATATCATTATGTCCGAAATATTTGGGTTGCGGCAAGTTAGCCGTTGTGTTGATACCATATGCTGAATCGAATATATGGTCTTGGACGTAAGCGAGAGGTTGATCTACACTATCTGGAGCATTCCAGGACTTTTGGCCGTGGACAATGGTATGGTGATATAGATACTCCGCAGTAGTCAACCCCTGGCGGCGGCGGCCAATAGCAATTTGTTTTGGAAAAGAGTTCGGCCAACTAACACCACTCACGTACTGAGCAGCAGTGAGTGCCTGTTGGAGCAAAAATATAAATGTAAGAATGAGTAGCATGTTCTCTTATCAGAGCGGTTTGTGATGTTGTATGCCGCTCTACGGCGCATAAGAATCTATATTTTATAGTCCAAATAGGACTAAATTCTACGTAAGCTAAAATAGGTAGTACTACGTCGGAATGTGGAGAGATCGGACGTTCGGAACCATGCACACGCCGACCAATATCAATAGGGGTTTCCCCGGCCCTTTCTTCGGGGCTTATTATTTCTCTGCCTATACTGCGCCTTCTCACATACGACTGAACATATAGGGGCCCCTTGTGAAGTAACAAATGCTAGATTGCTCAGTTTTCTAAACTAAAAGCTTCCTTCCCACATTATACTACTCGATAGCTACTTCGAGCCTCTCTTTGTATAAGTCTTTTTTACATACCTTTATGTCTTTCTATAACAGAGCTATACGCTGTTGAAAATTCTTCAAGCTTAAAAACTGTTTCAAAAACATTCATCAAGGGTATAAGTGAAAATAAGAAAGAATAATTTGACTTTTTTAGTAGTAGGATACCAACAAGTTTGGACTAGTATATCCTGGACTGGTTGCAAACTAGTCATATTACTCCTGGTTATGATCCCTGTGTGATCCCTACATGTTCTGTCGTATGTGAGGAGGTGCAGTACTTATATAGGTGTATTTCCGTTGGTTCAGTCCTTTGTGGCGCTTGTCAGTCCAAACTATCCATTTTATCCAATCCTATTTTAGATACAACAATCTCCCAGCGTTCATTACCAAGCTTTCCTCCTATTTTTACAATCACAGGAGTTTCTGCTTATGTCTAGCAAAATAGAAGTACTAGCAATCGAAGCTCGCCAACCTAGGCGAGAATAGCTAACCCGAGATCAGCGTCTCTAGATCCATATATTACGACAAGTAATGTGTACTTATAAGCAGATTTTTGAGTAGCTAGTGTGGCGAGTAGAGTCTCTACTCTATTCTTAGGTCAACTTGGTTAGCGGATGGGGCATGACAAGTGACGAAGGAACCGTGTATCAAACAGCTCATCCAAGATCTGATTTACAAATAACTTCTCGCACCACAAGCGCAAGCAAAAGGTGAAGCAGAATTTGGCTGAAAGGTCACAGATTCGAAAACACTGGCATCAACAAAGCAGTGACCAATCGACTTCGAGTGAAGTGATGTGTTGCAGTGATTTATTATACCGGCTGTGTAAGTCTTCCCAACACCTGGCTTTCCATGCAGAAGAACAATCAAACCCTCGCCTTTACCTTTAACGAAGACTAACTCCTTAGAATGCATTGCTGCCAATGCCGAGCGTCATCTTCTATTGCGGTGTCACTGGCGAAAACCGATGAAAGAAGAGACAATCACGGTTGCATCGTTATTGAGCAAAAGCACATTGAGGCAACGGTGGAGATGTCTAGATCCTTCAAGAAATACCTAAGCGATCTATACCGCAAAGACAAAAACGCAGTCGCCGCATTGAGGCGGAATAGAAATGACCCTAGACCCAACGCGGGAGATGAGGGTGAAAAGGAATATCACTGAGTAAGATGGGAGGTTTAGGCATCGTGATGAAAGTTTCCACGCCTGAACCATGTCTCACTCAGAAAATGTCTTGAAGCAGAACTTTCATATACCATCTTTCAGAAGAAGTCTCTTGTGTACAAAATCCCCATGCACTCATTCAAACTACCCACTACACCGATGAACCCCCATCAATACAAATATTCTGCCCAGTAATACTCCGACTTAGCGCCAATACCCTAACCTGGTCTGCACAATCCTCCACCGTCGCCAACCTCTTCAACTTCGTATTATTAATCGCAGCAGTCCGCTTCGACTCCGGAAACCTTAGGCCCCACTCCGTCAACAGCATACCAGGACTAATACTATTGACACGGATCTTAGGCGCTAGAATGACAGCTAGGCTCTTCATGAGGTGGATCTGCGCGGCTTTAGTGACAGCGTAGGGAACGCTGCTGCCGCTGGGTTTGACACCGGCGACACTGGCTGTCGAGATGAAAGTGCCTTCTGTTTCCGCTAAGGCGTCTTTGGAGGCGTAGGCGAGCCATAGGTGCGTCTTGACGTTCATGGTGAAGCATTTGTCCCAGTCTTCGTCGTTGACTTGCTGGTCGATGTCTGTGAAGGTCGTCATACGGGTCCAGCCGGCGTTGGAGACTACGACGTCCAGTCGGCCCATCTTTTCGATCGTTTCTTTGACGAGGCTCTGAACGGAGGGCTTGGACGACATGTCCGCTTGGACGAGGTGGAAACGGGGGTTTGCATCTGAGGAAGTGCCGGGTATGGATGTGAGTTCCTTGACGAGCGACTGTGCGCGGTCTGAATTGGAAGAGTAATTGATCACCTGACTCTGTAAGTTCAAATATGCCAGCGTGTGAATTGACTATGCAACGTACAACACGGAAGTCTGGCGCCAGTGCCCGGGCTATTTGAGCCCCCAGGCCCGCTGAGCTCGCTGTGATGAGAGCAACCTTTGTAGCAGCCATTGTGAAGTTTGAATTGTGCAATGAGTTCCCTGCATAAGAAATGTAGAATTTGGTAAATATAGTTACTGGGGTGTGATCTTGCGGCTATCAATGCTGAGAGGACGCGGGGTCACACCGGATTCCGTCATCGGCAATTGGTCGCGGAACCTTTCCGTGCAACTTACACAGTGTGGCAAACTAGATGTGGATAAGGGACACGAAATCAAGAAACCAGGATTTTGGCAAATCAGCCATCATGTGCATGATGGACGTACGATTAACTTCGAGGGAAAAAGCGTCAGCTTCATGCCCGGATAGTAACCAATAAGGCCGAATAAATTATGCGTTACGGAAGGACATCGCCTCACAATATCATTATACGGCCAACAAACGTCACGAAATATGGAGAGATGGATTAAGAATGATTTACAATTCTATAATCGTGAAAGAATGCAAGTGAAAAATGAAGGTTGTTTTTCTCCTATGGCTTGATCGTATGCGGATCCACCTCATCATCAGCTTTCAATGGCCCAGGCTCCACATCAGCCTGCTCCTGACTCCTCATAGCTTCAAGAACCTCCAGTCCCATATCTGTTCTCGGACCCGTAAAGTTCTTGCGTCCATCTACAAACCATTGGAATGTACTGATAAAAAGGATGATGCCGAATGCGACGACACAGTAATCTAGACACAATTAGAGAAACAACTATGAGTATATCGAGAAAATACTTACTCATGTTAGAAGCTGTGACGGGTAATGCCGGCGGAAACAAGAACAACACCGTGGTAACAATAGTGTACGCAACACCAATGATATTTGCCACCCAGCCAAGAGGTTCTGGCAAGGTAAAAGGCCTGGAACCCAGCATTTTTCTACCGCGAATAAGATTGATAGCAACGGGTATGGCGTAGCTCACGCCCAAAGCGACGACAGATGCAGAAATGAGGGCGTTGAAAGCACTGCTGGAACCGATCAAGATCAATCCAAAGAGAATGGTCAGGGTAGCGGCTAGAATCAGTGCATTGAGTGGTTGACCAAGCCGCGGATGCACTTTTGCGAAAAACTTCGAAAACGGAAGCCCTCCGTCACGAGCAAACGCATAAGTCATGCGACTCGAAGTCGTCATGATGGCGGTTTCTGCGAAGAGAATGCAGACCAACGGGAACATCAAGAGACATGTAGCACCCGCTCGGCTTTTCGTGGCGTTGAAAAGGATTTGCAGGAGTGGACCAGGTGCTGCTGATATGATGGATGCCGCATCGCCTCCAGAAACGAAGAGCAAAACCGTAAGAAAGATGAAGCCCGTAAAAGTGCCGATGCAGACGCAGTAGATCATAATCTTTGGGCCTTCGACTGACGCGTTTGGAATCTCTTCAATCATATGGGCGACGGCATCGTAGCCGGTCAAGCCGAATCCACCCTGGAGCAACCCAAGAAGCCAAGCAATTCCATCTGGCCAGCCCGTCTCATTGATGAATTGAGTGAAGACAAATTCAGCGGAGGCGAAGTCAGGAGAGGCGCAGGCAAGGACCGTAATGCAAATGATTGCAAAGCCACCGATAGACCAGATAAATGCGGTTCGGTTGACATAAGGCAGCAAGCTGTTCATGAAGGCGTTGATGACAAAGGCAATGAGGGTCCAGGCTACGTAGATTAGCCAGACTTGCCATGGGTGCAGACTAAAATCTGGATGCCAAAGGGCGATAAGACCGGAGATGAGTTGCGAAGCGAGAAGCCCTCCTGAAGTGGTTAAGGCAATCCAGCCCGATACGTTGATCCAGCCAGTGATGAAGGATGCGAGTGGTACCCATTTCTTTGGAGTAATAACGGCAACCCAGTGATATCTTTTCTTGGGTTAGCATAATTCAAGATAAGTGCTCGGCCGAGTCTTACTGTCCACCGGCTGTAGGATATGCGGACAGAAACTCGGCGAGTGACGAAGCCAACGCTAAGTTACAAATCCCGGCTGTGAGAAGGCCCCAGATAACACTTGTTGAGCCGCCTGATGGCAAGGCAAGCCCGAGCGACGAAGAGAGGGCAGTCCATGAGTTCAAGATGGCAAAGGCCAGACCCAGCATGGACAAGAGACTGAAGTTGCGTTGCAACTCGCCCTTGTGACCAAGCGCTGTGTAGAAATATCAAGTCAATGGATATCCCTGAAGCATAACGTCTGTTCCAGACTTACCCTGCAGCTGGGCCTCATCATCGAGGGTTTGTCGCTCACTGGACCTCATGGTGTCTGCTCAATCCGTACGGAGAATGTCAAGAGGTCGCATGTTAATGGAAGGCAAAGGACGACACTATTTAAGACGAACGATGTCCCTTGAAAGCGGAGATACGGGGCGGATTTCGTCAGCCATGCGACAAGTGCCACAGCTATCCGAAGTGGGCATGTCCAACAGAGTGGCTAAAGCTTGACGAAGCTTGATAGGGACTCTACTACAGATAGGGAGATATGTTCCAAGTCAAAAGATGGGGTAATAGCCAATGAGGAGACGCGTTGCCGATTATCTGGTGGTGACCGAACGGCGTTACATCGCTCCGCAGCGTGCATTATCCGACACCGGGCTGCACTACGGTCATCGCCGTATCATAAGTCCCGATAGATAGAGCGTCAAGAGCGTTTGTGGGCCCCGTTAATGTGCATTTGACCTAGCATCAAGAAAAAGGTAAAGGCAACGCCTATAGGGAGTGTTGAGGTTTCTCGAAGCTTTTGTCCGTTGATCCTAGCGGTCTTGGCACGAACACCCTGCACAACGACTGACAGCCTAGAGCAGGGTAAACTCATTGTCCGAGAATAGTACCATGTTGGTCTCCACCGCTCGTGGATCGCCGCACCTCATTTTTCGTACAATGATGTTGCGCATCCTGTTCGCCAGGAATCTGGAGAGACGGTGCCTTGGCGCGTCCTGAGACTTGCCTTTGGGTCGGCACAGGCGTCACGGTTTCAGTTTCCGCTTCTCTCTCATACTACTTGACTAGCTGAAGACGGTCCAACAACACCACATACACCACCACTCTGTAGATGTCGCAACCTTGGAACAGGATGCGCGCAAACCGGCCTCAAAGCTATACATCTCTGCCTATGAGCGAGAAGGAACCGCTAACGTCAAAGCCGCCGCGGCGCTACAATGAAGCTTCAGGACTACGTCGTTGTGCAATTCAGGCAGTCAGTGCCTGTGTAGTCATCTACGGGCTCTTCAAGTATATACCATCTGGTCATTTACCCATCCTCCTCCACTAATTATCCATTAGCTTATTCCCATTCTCAACCTCAAAGCCCTGCGACACCATCGACGAGGGCTACCGCTGCAGCCCCAAGACGACACACTACCTTGGGCAGTATTCCCTTTGGTACTCTGTGCCCTCTGAAATAGACGTTGCCCCTCCCAAAGGCTGTGAAGTGACCTTTGCGAACGTCCTCTCCCGCCATGGTGGCCGCGACCCGACATTTGGCAAATCGATAGCCTACCACCTCCTGATTGCCGAAATTCAGAACACAAGCACTTCATACCCGGATGCATTCAAGTTCTTGAAGGATTACGACTATACACTGGGCGCGGATGAGTTGACGGATGCTGGAAGGCAGGAGATGGTGAACTCGGGCGCTCACTTCTACCGCCGGTACCAGAAACTCATGGATGAGAATACGCCATTCGTGCGCGCTGGTGGCCAGCATCGTGTCGTAGAGTCGGCTGAGCGCTGGCTCATGGGTGTTGCACAGTCGCTGAACACAAAGCCCCAGAAGATTGATTTAGTCATTCCAGAAGGCTCAACCTGGAACAACACGCTGTCCCACGATATCTGCCCTGCTTTTGAGGGCGGGCCGAACCATGGCCTGGGAGACCGAGCGCAGCAGGTATGGGCTGCCAAGTTTGTACCGCCGATTCAGAACCGCGTCAACTCGGCTCTCGGTACCAATCTTAGCGCGACTTCTATTGTCTATATGATGGACATGTGCCCTTTCGATACCCTTGCACACCCTTCAGCGCAGTTGTCAGAGTTTTGCAAGCTGTTTACGGACAAGGAATGGCGGGAGTATGACTACTTCCAGACTTTGGGCAAGTACTACGGCTACTCAGTAGGAAACCCACTTGGGCCTACGCAAGGTGTTGGGTATGTCAACGAGCTGTTGGCGCGCCTGACAAAGAAGCCTGTTGAAGACAACACCAACACGAACCGCACACTTGACTCGGACCCAAAGACATTCCCTCTGGACCGCAAAGTATACGCTGATTTCAGTCATGACAATGATATTAGTGGTGTTTTAGCTGCGCTTGGACTGTACAACAAGACCAAGGCATTGTCCAATACTACGATCCAAGACACCAAGCAGACGCATGGCTATTCGGCTGCATGGACAGTGCCGTTCGCTGCTCGCTTGTATGTCGAGAAGCTGCAATGCAAGGGCGAGAAAGAAGAGTTGGTCCGCGTTATTGTGAACGATCGTGTGCAACCACTAGAGTTCTGTGGTGGAGACCGTTTTGGTAGGTGCACGCTAAGCAAGTTTGTCGAAAGCCAAAGCTTTGCTCGAAGTGGTGGACTTTGGGAAAGGTGCTATGATTAAGAATCTGTAGCGCAATTTTTGCATGTATTCTACATAGTGGGTGGTCGCATCGTTGCATTCCCAAGACTCATAGACTCAATCAAAGACATTGTTTGACTTTTTCCGAATTGCTGTTCTGCTGGGTCCATTTTCCGTACAATGTCTTGTTAGCTGCAGGAAGCATTTTATTCTTTATCACGCGGATGATAACAATGGGAGACAACTGAAACAACAAGCATGAACTGACAATCGCCTGTGCCCGTATACATAGTACGAATAGCAAGCTTACAAGACGAATACTTCTTGAATCACATTAGTGATTTCGTGCAAAGAGCAGTCCTCTACCCGCAACCACAGACGCTATCATGGGGTTAAAATTAATAATACCAAAACACATCTGGAATTCCTACGACCCTGCTAATGACCAGGGCAATCAGTCCAAAATGCAAAAGAGATTTGTCCGCAGGATAAGTACAACAAGAGATTGTAACACGAAGCTTTACCGTTTCCATTACGGCGGTATACAACGAAAACGGACAGGGAAGCGGAAAATGAGATCAACTATGAAGGGCCATGTTTAAAGGTCACGTGCGGGAGTTGCTTGGAGTGGCATCCGGAGATGGTGTGGGAGCGAGGAGGCATGCCTACTACGGGAAGATATCACGACCAGGATCACCAACAACAGCTAGCCACACGTGGTGCCTCTCTCAATATGACGCACGGCGAGTATTGCATGCCTACCCAAAGGAAACAGGTTGAGAAATTCAGGGCCGAGCGGACAGGAATGGGTGCAACTAGTATGCAAAGAAAATGCAATGTCCGGCTAAAATTCATAACGCAGCGAGGCAAACAAAGATTCGAAACTCTAGTAAAGAAATATGAGAGACGGGAAAGGCGAAGGATGTAGTGTGCCGGGCGCAAGTGCCGAGCTGGTAAAAATTACAAGAGAACGTAATAGTTGCGTATACATTTCTCGAAAGGATAGTAGTGGTCTTTTGTAGAGTGCTGTACATGGTGGAAAAGACAGGCACGGAGGGGTAAAGCCGGAATCGTTGCGTCATGTTACAAAGCTCGCTTTTGCGCACTGTCAGGCTTTGAAAGAACATGTCACTCTACACAACAGGTAGGCTACAGCGCCGTGACAAGAGACATCAATGAATACGGTTATCATCAGATTATCATTGGTGAGGATCCCCCACCAGTTGCGAGCACAATCCTTAGTAATGCTGCCAAGTGCGACTACGGATCCCTGCATGGGCCTCGGACAGCCCACTAAAGCAGTTCGCATCTCAGTCATCTCCGCCCTATTGTCCACTGGCTTATATAGCTTTCCCATGTCTGCCCCTCCAGATGTTGGACACGGTTCCTCCAGACTCGACTCAGTATGATGGCGCACATGGCTAGGGTACGGGCGGGTCCCCAAACATTGCGGAGAGTCGCTGGCCGTGGCGAACTATCTGCACGATCGCCCATCTCCGCCATACGGACAAGGTGTATTGCGACAAATACAGAACCACGGGAGCCAGTTTCCGAGTTCCTCCCAGGCATACCTCCAGTACCGACACCGCAGCGATCGGCCAGCGAGGACCGGAGAGCAGCAATCAAGAACGCGAAGCCTTTCTCTGCCTTTTTGACCGACACGTTCAACCGGCAGCATGACTATTTGCGCATCAGCATTACAGAGCGCTGCAATCTGCGATGTCTGTACTGCATGCCCGAAGGTGTGCCTTGAACACGACTCGACAAAAAATTTGGCTGACGAGGAACAGAGGGCGTTCCGCTATCGCCGCCCGCTAACATGCTCACCACGCCCGAAATCTTCTACCTCTCGTCGCTATTTGTGTCGCAGGGTGTGACCAAGATCCGCCTTACCGGGGGTGAACCCACCGTTCGCCGCGATATAGTGCCCCTCATGCAGCAAATCGGTAGCCTGCGCCCCAAAGGCTTGCGCGAGCTCGCCCTCACCACCAACGGCATATCGCTGCACCGGAAACTCGACGCCATGGTCGAGGCTGGTTTGACAGGCGTCAATCTGAGTCTAGACACCCTAGATCCGTTCCAGTTCCAGATCATGACAAGGCGAAAAGGCTTCGATGCGGTCATGAAGTCGATTGACCGCATACTCGAGATGAATAAAATGGGCGCGAACGTGAAACTCAAGGTCAACTGCGTTGTGATGCGTGGCTTGAACGAGCGCGAGATCCTGCCTTTTGTCGAGATGGGCCGCGAGAAAGACATCGAAGTTCGCTTTATTGAATACATGCCCTTTGGCGGTAACAAATGGAGTGAGAACAAGATGATCAGCTTCCAAGAAATGCTAGACATCATCAAAGCAAAATATCCAGGACTCAGGCCGGTTCCTGGTCACAAGAATGACACGAGCAAGACATACGAGGTCCCTGGCTTTGTAGGCAAGGTTGGCTTCATTACAAGCATGACCAACGATTTTTGCGGCTCTTGCAATCGACTGCGCATAACAAGTGACGGAAATCTGAAGGTGTGCCTACATGGAAACGCCGAGGTATCGTTGCGCGACGTACTACGGCAGGGTAACAACGGTGAACCCATCGATCAAGAAGCATTCGAACGTATCAGGCAAATCGAAATGGACCGCCATGAGAGCCGTTTGAGCGATGAGACTATACTTGGCTGGGGCCAGCGAGAACGCGAACTGCTCGACGTTGTAGGAGCAGCTGTAAAGCGCAAAGCAGAAAAGCATGCTGATCTGGACGATCTCGCCAACATGGAGAACAGGCCCATGATCTTAATTGGTGGGTAGTTGTGGTTCCTTTTTCCTCTTCTTAATCATGTCAGATCGCTTGGAGGCTTGTTGTGGTATGACGGCCGTTGCATGAATGGCGTTTTTGAGCGTTCCCCTTCATCGTGAGTCTATACTATCGCTTGGAGCATCATCGTGCCCGATTACATACTCGAATGATATACCCTTTTACGTTTGCATACCATCTTTTTGTGTGATGTGCATTGCTGACTAAATGTAGGTGAAAAGCCGTTGCCAGGCCTAGGTTCTTGGCAACCGTCTCCTCTACAAACCCTGCGTTCGAGTGCAAAGAGTTCCCATATATTCCCTCTAATGTCAGATATTCTTCAAATCTCAATGCCGCGCCTGCATTTCACAGCGTTGCAGTCCGCAAACACTGTTCGAACCTTCTCCACTTCCAAACCACTTGCAGCAAAAACTAAGTCTAAGTCTAAGTCTAAAAACAAACATATTAAGGTAAGGGTCAAGCATGGTTTCGAATACCAAGAAAAGTCAGAATACGTTGCTCGGTTCGGTCCCCAAAGAGCCACTCTGCCACCGAACCTTGAGGAAGTGCGACAGAAATATGGGTTGACCGATGAAAAGTACGACATGTACTGGAAAGTGGTTGCAGACACAAAGCTCAAGTCTGGCAGTGGTAAAAATTACAGATTTCTCAACAAGAAAGCCCATAGTAGGCTACTATCCGCGCTTCAGGGATCAGAGGAAGTGAGCCACAGACTACTGATGAGTGATGCTCAATCGATTGCCGATCGAACACGACAAAATTTAGCAGAACACAGTGAGGATGCGATGCTGCGACGCCAGACACAAGAAATGAATGAGCTCAAAGCCTTCTTAGAGGAGATCATGATACCGTCCAAGATCCAGAGGGCGTTGAAGAAGACTGAGGATAAGATTTATGAGTTGCAAGATCGCGTAACACAGCGCAAACAAAAGCTGGCCGAACAACGGATTACAAAAAAGTGGGGCGGAGTAACCATAGATAGTGTCAAACAGGTGCAAGAGGTTGATGAGATCAACCAACTACTTGATACCTATAAGCAACAAGTCGACAAAATTCGCGAACAGGTTCAGAGGCTGGAAGAAATCAGGACACGAAAGGAAGAACTGTTGGCGAGGAAGCGTTTGCTACTGAAGCAGCTTGAGGAGCAAGAGAACCAAGAGAGGGAGGCCAAGAGGATTCCTAAACCCGTGGACACCAATGATCAGAAGAATCAGCCGGCCCCGAAGAGTTTGGACTCTATACTCAACCAAGCAGTCCAGAGGGTTGGCAAGGGCTGGGGGGAGCCACAGCTACAAAGTACAGGTCCTGATTCCGAGATCATACGAGCAACAGCACAGGCAAATGAGCGTACCGCTTTAAAAATACGGAAGCCTGGAATAGGTTCGATATCTGTATTGACTCGATCAAAGCCCGAAGACCAAGACCAAGACACAAAGGGCAAGGACATGAATCCGGCCACTTTCACTGCATCCAGGCCGAGTGATAGCTTGCGTTTGCAGGTTCCCACTTCCGGATTTATTCCTATTGACGAGAATCTCATTGTCACGTTTGAGGGATCGGTCCCAGAACTCCAATCCTATGTGTTCGAAATGGCTCAGCGCCTCAAAAGCTCATATCCGCGTCTCGACACGCTGCCATATGATGTGTGGACCAGCCAGAACATAGCGACGTTGCAGACGTGGCTTAAGATTATGGTAAAGAAATGGCAAACGCGATTCGACAGCATTGGCCAAGTGGAGAAAGACATTATGGATGGGCGAGTTCAAGCTGTGCTTGATCGAATGGTTCGCGACCACGATCTCAGCAACCAAGCTGCGGAACGGATGGCAGTGCGGTGGCACCAAGCCTTTGAGAATAGAGGCACAATGCATGGAGATGCAGAGGGATTGATGAACTGGGATGAGTTTCAAGCTGAAGGCCTGGGATTCTTGACCAACGAGACGGAGTCTGAGGTGCCATCACAACAGGGACAAGCAGAAGCCAGGCCGATACCAGCAACGCTCTCAAGCACGGACAAGAGACCAACTCTACACGGAGATTTGGGTAGCCAGGTTTCTCATGACTCCTCTGCACGCAGGATGTACTCGACCTCTTCGCGATCCACACCACCAGCTCGCGACCTCGCATCGCAGCAAAAAGAGAAGGAAAAGGATGACGTGGAAGAATCACCAGCACCATACCTACCACACCTTACCCTGTCGGGCTCCGCACACATGGTATCTGTATCGGCAAAACAACACACCATCCGCACCGCCATCGCCATCGGCTCAGTCCACTTCACAAACCCGACTCCCCTCTCCCTCATCCGCTCCAACACCGCCAAAAAAGGCGATGTCCTCGGCGTATCCCGTATAGCAGGCATCATGGCCGCCAAAAAATGCCCAGATCTAATTCCCCTATGCCATCCCATCCCACTCACACACGTCGGCGTCGAACTTGCACCTTTCTCCGACGGACACGGAGGCGTAAAGATTGAAGCCAAAGTCCAGTGCACGGGGCAGACAGGCGTGGAGATGGAGGCTCTGACGGCGGTTATGGGCGCGGCGCTGAGTGTGGTTGATATGTGTAAGGCGGTGGATAGGTTTCAGAGGGTTGATGGGGTGAGGGTGGTGTTCAAGGAGGGGGGAAAGAGTGGGGTGTGGAGGGAGGAGGGGTGGGTGAGTTGGCAGGGGTAGATGGGTTGGTGGTTTGGGTAAAAGCATTTTTTAATATGAAAAGTTATGGAATCGATGCCAATGTTTTGCACCCTCGGGGTGCTAATGTATGAGGTTGCTAGGGGCAGCACAAATGTCTAGTTTGCTACTGCTGTAGCCGTGCTGTTGACATCTAGGGCACGCTTGCCAAACCCTCAGTCTTTTAGAAAGGATTTTTCTACGCTCAATAAGCTGCCTCGAAATACTGGCAATGCGCAGTGGAGTTTCTCTCACCTCATCTTGATGCAGGGCCCATGGTGTGGACTCACTTACCTATCGGGGTTTCACCTCTCACCGCTCAGGTGCCATCTCACCACCATGTACGTTAACAGGACTCTAATATACTCCAGTTCTGCGTCCAACCAAACTTCATTACCTACTGTGGTTTATACTCTCAAGGCTTCTGTCGCCGATCTCGTATAATTTACTACTCTGCAAAATCCAGGTCTATCAGCAGCCATGACCTCTTCCGTCACATCCCTTGATGAGCAGGCCCCAGTTACTTGGCCGATACAGTCATTTACCATCAACCACGATGTAAAATCTACAGGCCCAGCACAGCTCATGCTAGATCGTGCCAACTCTGAGTTTGGGCTGGTGTACCAGACCCAACCTGGTGTTGCAGTGATGGCACAGTTTCCCGATACTGAGGAGCCGGTCTTCTTCCAGGTATCCAAGGCGCGCGCAGTCTGCACTCGCTTTAACAACTCATGCAAGAAAGTTTGCATACTTATGCCACATATGCAGATCGATCTGTGCTTCACGATTAGTGTAGATGCTGGGGACTTCGTACACGCACTTGGGCGGATTGCCACCACAGTTGGCAATTCCTACTTCGAAGTTCATGAAGCTGCTTCGTATGTATCACCTTTTCTGCTCCTACTAGCACAATACTGATTCAATTGCATAGAAATGCTGCATTGGCCCGTGCCGACTTCAGTATGGAGAAGGAAGGCTATACCAACCAGAAATATCAGTTGTGGGTGGCAGCTCCGAACGAAAACACATCGGAATGGGCCCGGTAAATACTTCAGCTAAAACTCTCAGACTATCGACTAACAGCTGCAGCATCTACAAGACTGGCAAATGTACCGACTTCACCATCATCGCTTCCGGTAGGGTGTTTCAAGCTCATCGCGTCTTGTAAGTATCATGTCTCTTATTTTGTCGATGTAGCTGACACAGCAGCTAGGCTTAGCACACGATCGCAGTACTTCAACGCGGTTTGCGATGGAAACTTTTCAGTAAGAGACGTTTAGACGCCATACAAGTCACCTAAGCCTTGCTAACGTTCTGAAGGAAACCAGCCAGCGTTCCATCACACTGCCCGAGGACAGCCAGACTGTGAGCACAATGCTCAAGGAGATATACGGAGTGTACAATCCAACCACAGGATCAATATTCAGCAAATTTGCGCTCAGAAACGCGTTTGAGAAAGACTGTATCATGCGCGATTTGCTGGCCCTTTTCGTCGCCTGTGATAAGGTCAAGCTCCCCCCATAAATTATATGATTTATAGTTCTGACAATATGCACAGTACAACCTCGAATCGATCAAGCAGAAAGTCTCCAAGACAATTATTGATCGCATTCCCTTCATTCAAAACCCTCTAACTATTGTCTATCTGGCTGCAGAGATCTATGGCGAAGTTGGCCCAGAATTGGATCATGGTCTCCGCAACGCAATCATCCTGCACCTGCACGTTCGCCTACCAGCGATCATGGAAGACAAGGATGCGTGGAACTACTACTCGGAGAACAAGGCTGTACTCAAAGCACTTCACTCATACCAGTGCGGGATGCAGGATACGACGAGATCTTCCGGAATATTCACGCCACCAGCTAGTCCACGTAAAAAGTGAGCAAGGGTGCCTATGGTGTAGTTGCGAGGTTCGATATCAAGATGCGTTTGAGCAAGAGATCTTTCTCATGGGTCATTATGGAGAAACGCCAGGAAGTAACTTCTAGGGTTATGATGCTCGTTGCCCTTGGTAGATAAAATATATATGTACTACATGTATAGGAAGACACGGTCACGTGCAGCCGCGTCGCGCTAACAATGCTTGCGGGCTCCGCGTCACCCCACGGCAGCAGAGCAGCATGTGAAACGAGCCCTCCACGCGTCAGCACCTGTTCAATGGCCCCCGATGTAGCCTCCATGACATCGACGCACACCACCCCCGCACTCAAGAACTCACAGAAACCGCCTACGGGCCCCAACGTCCTCGAGGTTGTACTCGGCTCGCTGCTGATCAAGCCATGGTACCCGTCCTTTTACCCAGAAGAGCTTGTGGGAAGGCGCGTCGAACGGCTCTACGTATGCCAATGGTGCTTCAAGTATAGCAAGGAGCTCGTTGGCTTCTTAGGTCATCTGGTACGCCTGAAAGACTTGCGTGGTTCAGAAAGACCGGTTGAGCTGATACGCCCCAGAAAGCATGTCCCCTTCGTAACACTCCACCCCCGGGCATTAACGTCTATACAAAAGACAACTACTCCCTATACGAGATCGATGGCGAGAAGAATAAGCTTTATGCGCAGAACCTATCGCTCTTTGCGAAGCTCTTCCTCGACACCAAATCGGTCTTCTACGACGTTACGACCTTCTTGTACTATCTCCTAGTTGCGCACAATCCCACACCTAGCATACCCAACACCAATCTTGAAGAAGAGACGACGCCAAGTGGGGTCGGGGCGCAGGGGCAGGTTGTGGGCTTCTTCAGCAAGGAGAAGATGAGTTGGGACAATAATAACCTAGCATGTATATTGGTCTTCCCACCGTGGCAGAAGCAAGGATTAGGCCAGCTATTGATGGGGGCAAGCTACGAAATGAGTAGGCGAGAGGAGAGGCTGGGTGGTCCTGAGAAGCGTAGGTCATTTCTGGTCTGTCCTCTTACACACCGACTAGTGCTAACGTCACGACAGCATTGTCCGATCTCGGTCGCATTGCCTACAACCATTACTGGTCACAAACACTTGCTCGTACCCTCCTCTCATGTCCGTCTAAGAAGACACTTACTGTGCAAGAACTTCGCGAAAAGACGTACATTGTGCCTGAGGACATCATCGCAACTTTGCAGCTGATGGATGTTCTCGAACAGAAAAAGAAGGGCGGCGCAGATGCCGTAATTAACAAGGCAAAAGTCAGAGCATGGGCGGATAAACACAAGGTAGATGTCAAAAGCTGTCCGGTGGATCCTGATGCGTTTATTGTACGGGCAGTAAGCAGGGGTGGCAGTGAAGAGTCTTGATGCTTCACGACAAAGAGAATACAAGTACAGGCATATGATACCCGGATCTCGATGGTTCTACAGAGTTCCAATATAACGACATGAAGATCTTTGTTGGAAATATCTTTTGAGAAAATGGTGTTAAAGTGTCTCATTTGTTACATAGCGTTCATTCCTGTGTGTTGTTGGGTTCTATTGGGCCCACCTGCAGTCCTTTCCCAGGAAACGATATGGTCATTGATTACGTGCTAGATGCAGTTAAATATGTTTTTTTTTCGCTTGCAAACCATGTATCCATAGATTCAAGAACTGCTTCGTCGTTCATACGCTAGTGAGCACTTAGCGCGGCACGTGAACACCCGTTTTCGTGAACGCGTCGCGTCTTCCAATTACTTCCATCCACTCATTGGTATACGTCTTCAAAATGGTCAGCAAAACCGAGCAACGGGACTTTCACCACCCCTACACGCCATATGATATACAAAATGAGTTCATGAGCGCTGTATACGAATGTTTAGAAAATGGCCAGGTCGGTATCTTTGAATCACCAACCGGGACAGGCAAGTCACTGAGCCTGATCTGCGGCTCTTTGACATGGTTGAGAGACCACAAAAGAAGGACTTTCGAAGACGGATTTGCAGCCGATGCAGTGAATAGCGAAGAGCCGTCATGGATCGTCGAACATGCACAAAAGCAGCGTAAGCAAGAAGCACTTCGTCGCAAACAAGAATTGAATGAACGCATTGCAAAAATCAAAGCGAAGGAGAAGCGGGCAAAAGAGCGCTATGAGAATGGCGAGTCAAGTTACAAGAGGCGGAAGGTTGCATCCGGCGAAACGAACGATGTCGATGAAGCACAATTCGTGCTTGACGACTATGAAAGTGACAAAGAATCTCAAAAGCGGGCCAGAGGCGGTACCTTTAATGAGTCTGGACTGTCGGCAGAAACACAGGCATTGATGGCATCGTTGGGGTACGCTGACGATGTTCCGAAGAACGACGATGGGGAGGTGCCCGACGAGACAAAGATATTTTTCTGTTCCCGGACGCACTCTCAACTGACGCAGTTTTCGAGTGAGCTGGGCCGGGTCAAGATGCCGCCTGCCATTGCCTCGGACGATGATATAAACAGCACTGATGTGGACTCACTCGTGGAAGATGTCAAACATCTTACGCTCGGATCAAGGAAGAACCTTTGTATTAATGATAAGGTGAATAGGCTTGGAAGCGCTACTGCCATCAACGAACGATGCCTAGAACTGCAACAGAATAGCAGCACCGAAAGCCGATGTCCCCATATGCCGAGTAAAGAACATGAGCCTCTAATTAATGACTTCCGTGATCATGCGCTTGCAAAGATCAGAGACATTGAGGATCTCGGATCGCTGGGCAAGAAGCTGGGGGTATGTCCCTACTATGCCTCAAGACCAGCGATAAAGTACTGCGAGGTGAGCTTGAACTCCCGGTCATTCAACACACGTCTACATGCTAACGAGCCTAGATTGTGACGTTGCCGTATCCATTGCTTTTACAGCGCACTGCTCGCGAAGCACTTGGACTATCTCTTAAAGATCATGTCGTCATTATCGATGAAGCGCACAACCTGATGGACGCTATAGCAGGCATTTACTCCGTTTCTGTAACGCTCGGCCAAGTACAACAAGCGCGCGCCCAGCTTACTGCCTATCTTCAAAAGTTTCGCAACAAGCTAAAAGGAAAGAACCGAGTCTACGTTGCCCAGACAGTCAGGATCCTGGATTCAATCCTTGCTTATTTGCAGTCTATCGGCGCCGACCCAAAGGCGGCTGATGGCCTGGTTGACATGGTATCTATAATGTCCGGAAAGGGCGTCGACCAGATCAATGTTTTCAAGCTCAATGCATACCTCCAAGAAAGCAGGCTCGCTCGAAAAGTCGATGGATATACTGCATTCGCTGAGCAAACAGTCGATGAGTCGACAAAGCAAGCGTCCAAGAAAGGACCCCGTCACAGTGTCCCTGTGCTCATGCATGTACAAGCTTTTCTGCTCTCCTTAATGAACCCTTCCGCGGAAGGCCGATTCTTCTACTCAAAGGAGGATGGTATAACGACACTGCGATACATGCTTCTCGACCCCACGTTTCATTTCAAAGATATCGTTGAAGAAGCAAGAGCAGTAGTACTTGCAGGCGGTACAATGTCCCCAATGAGCGACTATGAGCAGCATCTGCTATCATATCTGGACCCTTCTAAGATCAAAACCCTGTCTTGCGGGCATGTTATACCTCCTTCGAACTTGCTTGCTGTACCCATTGTACGAACGACGAGCGGCGCAGAGTTTGACTTCACATTTGAAAACCGCAACCAAGAAAAGACAATGATTGATCTAGGGGCCGCGATTTCGGCATTTGAGCGCAATATACCCGATGGAGTAGTAGTTTTCTTCCCCAGCTACTCGTATCTAGACACTTGTATCGCGGCGTGGAAGCGCCTGAAGCCATCACAATCAAACATCACCTTTTGGGATACTTTCAAAAACAGCAAGCCGGTATTCTTAGAACAGCGCAGTCAGCAACAGGATCTAGACACATCCTCGGCAGTCAAGGAGGCAGCTGTCGACTCGGTTCTCAATGCCTACAGTGCGGCAATCGCATCTGGTAACGGCCGCGGTGCGCTGCTCTTCGCCGTCATTGGTGGAACACTTTCCGAGGGCATCAACTTCAGTGATGCACTAGGTCGCGGTGTCGTGGTCGTCGGTCTTCCATTTCCAAATGCGCATTCAGCAGAGTGGAAGGCAAAGATGCAGTATATCGCTGCCAAAGAAGCAAAAAATGGTGGCGATGGCAAGGCAGCAGCACGCGATTTTTACGAAAATGCATGTATGCGCTCTGTGAATCAATGTGTGGGGCGGGCTATCAGACACAAAGGTGATTATGCGGCCATTTTGATGTTGGACAGACGGTATGGGAGCAAGCGGATACAAGATAAGCTGCCAAAGTGGATTAGGGGTAGTCTGACTGCTGGGCTGGGTGTGAGGGATGTGGAAGGGAAGTTGGTTGGATTCTTTTCAGACAAGAAATGAATGTCAGACTCTGTGTTCAATGAGACAATATTGTAGAATTCACAGCAGTCGACGTATTGCTGTGTTCCACGCTTGTGAAAAATGGTGGGGCTATTTAGTGCTTCATTCGGCTTAGCTTGACGCGAGCACCGTCTTACTTCGTGAACGCGTGTCTTCATGGAATACGATTCAAATTCTTCAGAATCTTCACAGATACATCGACTTCATGATGCTTGCATTCGCATAACCCATGCCTCTGTCAACAATAAGATAAAACTCTAGTCTATACAGCTTGCAGTGAATTATCTCAACGACAGACCAGGGCAAGTACAGGAGGAAATACAAAAAGAGGAAGGCTGCAATACACCGAAATAGCGGAGAACGAAACCAACCCTCGACATGGCATCCTCGCGGAGTCAGGATGCTGAAAACAGGGGTGCATACACGACCGTTGCACAAACCGAGGATGCAAGCGCAAGGTTGACAGTCCACGGCAAAACCGTAGATGAGGGCTCGGAGGACACAGGCTTTGAACCGCCCGTTCATATCGGAGCTGTTCCCACTCCAGAAGACGACCTCTTTCTTCCGCGGGTAGCTGACACTCTTCCTCGTGGCGCCTTCTTGGTAGCTATCGTGGAGCTATGTGAGCGCTTTGCATACTATGGCTTATCTGGTCCATTCCAAAACTACATCGCCAACGGATACAACGATGCCAACGGCCTTCCTGGGGCTCTTGGCCTAAAACAGTCAGGCGCTACTGCGATGACCAACTTTTTCCAGTTTTGGTGCTATTTAACGCCCTTGTTCGGGGCCATTGTTGCAGACCAGTATCTTGGCAAGTATGCAACAATCAAGTGGTTCAGTCTCATTTATATGGGCGGGATCACAATTCTCTTCTTGACGAGCTTGCCGTGGGCTATCCGGAGTGGGGCCGCTTTCTCCGGTCTTGTTGTTGCCATGTTAATCATTGGACTTGGTACGGGTGGTATCAAAAGTAATGTGTCACCGTTGATCGCAGAACAAGTTCGGTCCAACAAGCCGTTTGTCAGAACTCTGCCAAGCGGAAAAAAGGTCATCGTCGACCCAGAGCTCACGGTGCAGAGGATCTACATGGTTTTCTACATGTGCATAAACGTTGGCTCGATATCTGCAATCGCAACCACGATGCTGGAGTTGCATGTGGGTTTCTGGAGCGCATACCTTTTACCGCTGATCATGTTTTGCGTCGGTTATGTGATACTGGTAAGAGGGAAGAAGCAATACATCATCAAGCCTCCTCAAGGTGGTGTTATTGGCAACTGCTTCCGGGCTCTGTATATTGCCGCAAGGAATGGCGGCGACCTCAGCAAAGCGAAAGCTTCAGCCCAAGGACACGGAAGACTCAAGTCAAGAGTAACCTGGGATGATAAGTTTGTCGAAGAGCTAAAGACAGCATTGGTGGCGTGTAAAGTTTTCTTGTTCTTTCCCATCTACTGGGTCACATACTCGCAGATGTTGAACAACTTCATATCGCAAGCTGGACAGATGGAGCTCCACGGCCTTCCTAACGATATTCTTCCCAATATCGACCCCATCACAATCATCATACTGATTCCACTTATGGACCGCTTCATCTACCCATTCATCCGTACCCGTCTGCACCTTGCCTTCCGGCCGATAACGCGCATTTCGCTTGGCTTCTTGGTGGCTGCATTGGCTATGCTGTATGCTGGTATCCTCCAAACATACATCTACGCAGCGCCGCCATGCTATTATAGTCCTTCGAACTGTAACGCGGGCAAAATCGGAGAGGGAAGGTTCAAACCAAACGAAATCCACGTTGCGTGGCAAGCACCAGCATATGGGCTCGTTGCTCTTAGCGAAATTCTCACCAGTATCACGGGATTGGAGCTTGCGTACGCGAAAGCGCCAGAGAATATGAAGAGCTTCATCATGAGCTTGTTTCTTCTCACAAACGCCGGTGGCAGTGCGTTAGGCATACTCATCGCGCCCCTGGCGAGGGACCCTCACCAGCAGTGGCTGTATTTTGGCCTGGCAAGTGCTGCTGGAGTTACCGGTATCATCTTTTACCGGATGTTCAAGAACATTGATGACGACCCGGTCAAGGAGGTACAGAATGCTGAAGAATACGAAATGACGCGAAGATTGAGTCCAGACGACGAAGAATACTATAGCGACGATGCAGGAGTCGCAGATCATTCTACACGAGCCTGAAGTGAGGGCAGGTGCGTGAACGCTGAACACGTAGTCCATTGTCTATGGAAGCATACCCTTCGGTTTCTTATCGCCCCCACTCACGACTCAATTCCAGGGCGATATCGACGTAAATTAAAGCACGCAGGCAGGGTCTTGCGCATCGAACAACCAGGCTGAGGCATAAACGACAAGGCATCTGAGCCCAGTCTTGCCAATGTTGTTCGGCTCTGCGTCGTCTCTCCTGTCATTGGATCCACCGTTCGCGGGGTACAGTGAAGGACGACCAGGCTGACCAACAGGATTGCCGTATCTTGAGTGCTGAAATCCATCGTAGGACTGACAACTCAGAAGTGCATACACACTCCGCGAATGTGGCAATCTGACAGCGCATATATTCGAGCCTCGTTTTTTGGAGTCCATGATAAATGGGACTCTCTAAACGGGCCTTCTTGAGTCAGAAGCAAGCGTCGCTTTGAGACTAGTACAACATGTCAATCAGCGACAACTCCACCCTCGGCGTGTCGCATGAGCAGGATGGAACGAGTGATTACTTGCATGGTTTTGGAGACCTGGCCGTTAGCGCGGAAGAGAAGTCGTAAGTTTATTTGGGCTATCCACAGTAACAAGGAGCTAACAAGCAACCTTTATAGTCCCTATGCCTCTACACACATAGCTGTGCTAGAGGTGGGACCCGAAGCAGTTCGTTTTCTGGTCCACGAGAGCGTTTTGAGTCGAAGTGAGGTGCTTGCAAGGTCCTACAACCCATCTTTCATCAAGCAATCTGTACCCCTGCCGGAGCTCGACCTAGCAACTGCGCACACTCTAGTACACTATCTGTACACCGGCAAATACCAGACTCTTAGCGTACATGCGGGCTCCGACAAAATCATCCCCGAAAACTACAAGCTTAGTGTATGCGTGTATTGCGCCGCCGTACGCTACGGGCTGCCGGGTCTCGCAGAGCTTGCACAGACCAAGATCAAATCGTTTGGAGAAGATGTGACTATTTTTGATATGCTTGCAGTAGCAAGACAATATGCATTTCCGTTGCTGCCCGAAGACGATGCGTGGTATCCAGCGTATATTGAGGATGCGCTCCACAATGCCGTGATGGAGGACCCAACCCCGTTTCGAAAACCAGACTTCATCACGACAATTGAGGGTAGCAGCAGATTGCTGCAGCTCGTCTGGAAGACCATGATGAGCAACTACGTTCCAAAGCCGGCGACGCCGACTTTGACGCTGATGGTCAAAGCCGACAGTGCCGTTGCTCACACACCTGAGCCTGTGCTAGATGTTTCTGAGTCGCATGGGAATGCAGACTCTACAATTCCTGCCGAGAGTGAGGATGCCAGTAACAGCAAACCAGAAGCTGTAGCAGATCCTCAGTCAATTGTTGAAGAGCCTGCCAAGAATGCACTCGTTGCGGAGAGTGTCCAAGATGTCTCTGGTGAAGTGGGAGCCACCGCGTCCAACCCACAACTCCTTGCTACGGCTGAGTCGTTCTCGGATGACGAGTTGATGACCAGCATAGAATGGCGCCAGATGCGCGATAAAGCAGAGCAACAAGCGCAAATCACCACGTCTCCAAAGGAAGAGCCAAAGATGGCCAGTCTTGTTCGTACCGACTCTGTGACACAGCTTGAGCAGATGGCGGGCGCATCTGATCCCAAGACTACAGCCGGAAACGATGCGAGTGCCGAAACGGGACAGGCATCAGCTAGTGCAAGTGAAGTGGTACCCGTGAAGAAAGGCAAGAAGGTAAAAAAGATGAAAGGCGCAAAGAAACAAGCTGCCCAGGCTGAGCCAGTGGTGGCAAGTGCAGCGTAGGCGGCTTTCCCGTGGTACTGTGCATCTACTACTAGAATGGTTCTTGAGTCGATAGCACGTATAGATTGTTCCACACACAGACACAAATCATTTCACTCACTATTCCAGTACACCTCCATACTTCAGTTAGGCTTAACGAATAAGTGATGACGTAAGCCCGTATTCCTGCACCCTGTACTATCTCTCGTATAAGCTTAAAACCTCGTGTCATCAAGATCCTGTGCGACAACCAAAAAGCCTCAATGTGGTCCATAGCACTATAAACTCCGACTGCTAAGTACATCAGAAGCTAGGTAGAACACGTAGAGCAGCGCGCATGGATCGCTACGCTCACGTGACATGTTCTCGGCATCCGGCAGTCGAGTGAATTGCGATCGTCCATGCTTTGACATTTAATGCTTGCTCACCCGTACGTCCACTTTACAGTACTGTTTCCAAATCCGCCTTTTTTTGCACTACTCGATCAACTTTTACAGTCCCGATTTCCAGCAGTCGGAAAGAAAAATAAACAAATACACATAAATGCATGTATGCGTAGAGAAGCTGCTGAGTCTGTGCCCAACTGTGGTATGATGTAAGAATCCAAAGAATAGCCCGCACGTAACAACGAGATTAAACTTGGTCGTGTTGCTTGCTGCCTGCATGGGGCTTGTCCGGGCGGGCCGATCGCGAAATGCGACAACGCGGTACTACGGGATCTGCCCTGTACGATGACCCAAATTTCCTGGCCCCCTTTCCTCTAAGCAACTGCATCCATGAATGATCAATCTGTTATTTAACGGCACGTGTTTTGTTGTGTCGAGACGCTGTAATATCATTATACGGGGATATCTTTTGAGACGCCGTTGTTTCTGTTTGCAGGTATGATGATGACAGTGGAATTACGGAGGGGGAGAAGTGCCAGAATGGTACGGAACTTAAAGGAGACTAGACCGGATGTTAAATAGGGCTTGCTACACTACCCCGTCCCGTGTTAGTCACGATAGCTTCCTTGCTGGGGGCCCACACATGAAAGATGTGGATATGTACCATTTGCTACTATGCCTACAACAGTAAATGTACTTGTCCATTTTCTCTGGTAAAATCTGTCTAAACTATCTCCTCAACGTACCCAAACAGGTCGAGATATTCCTTTGCATATCGCCCAACTCAGCGATAGCGTTGCAACCTAAATTTTTAGTCGTACCATCGTATGACGGCATTTACGACGTTACCACTAGCCCAACTCCATCACCGCCGCCGCCGCCGTATTTCCAAGCCCCATCGTCATATCCATGAATAGCCACGCTGCGGAGGCTGTGGCGCCCAGGGACTCTGTGAAAACGACTCAATATCCTTGTATCATGTCGATAAGCGATCAGTGCACTGACGCTTCCATCCGACAAGGGTAAAGTGCCCGCTCGCCGGACTTTAAATTAAGCATCAAGCACAGACGCTCTTATGTCAAGAGAGTGCCATGGTATCGTTGCTTTTCGTATTCGGGCGCGGCGGCTTCAACCCTCTTGTTGCAAATTTGCCAGAAAAGGTGGTAATGCTGTACCACCGTGTTTTTTACTTTTCCTTTTTTGCCCCCACCACGGTCCCGAGGGAAAGGCGATCCCGGGTTTAGCGCTGGATGGGAAAGTTGCTTAAAGAGAGCCCTCCTTGGCCTTTTGTAAGTGACGGATATAGCAACTTCAGCGTGTTACAGCTGTAATCACATCCTTACTTCTTAATTCTTTAATAATGACGATTCAAACTTGGAACGCGGTGGTTGCGGCCGCCTTGTTGGTTGGCTCTGCCACTGCTACGCGTTGTCCTGGCGGCGAGTGGGATGTCATCGTTGTTGGTAAGGCTCAGAACTTGTACTTTGACTTTCGACGACAAAACTGACAGGTTGTAGGTTCCGGACCAGCTGGTATCGTTGCAGCAGACCGCATGAGTGAGGCGGGAAAGAGGACTCTTCTCCTGGAGCAAGGAGGCCCATCGTACTACATTACTGGTGGTCGGACACGGCCGGATTGGCTAGAGGGCACAGAACTCAGCCGTGTCGATGTCCCAGGCTTGTACAAGACCATTTTCTCAAACCCTGGCCAGGGCTTGGTGTGCCCATCCAACGTTGTCAACGCATTCCAGGGTTGCACTGTTGGCGGTAACACTGCCATCAATGCTGGTCTTTTCTTCCAGCCGCCTGCCAGCGATTGGGATAAGTACTTCCCAGAAGGCTGGAAGAACAGCGATATGCAAAATGCCATTCGAAAGGTCAGGGAAACCCAGCCAAGTACCGACAACCCTTCATTGGACGGACAGCGATACCTCCAGACCGGCTATGAGGCTGCTAAGAAGTGGCTTGTTGATGGAGCCGGATATGCCGACGTTGGTCTGAATGACGGCCCTGAGGAACATTCTAAAAACAAGGTCTTTGGTCATCCCATCTGGAACTATGAGGGAGGTCAAAGGAGCGGACCAGTAAAGACATACCTCCAGCAAGCTCTCAAGCGATCGAACTTTGCCTTCAGGACTGGAACGAAGGTTCTGCGCGTTCGCCGTGACGGCGATGTTGCAACCGGTGTCGATGTTGAGATGGGTACTAACCACACCAGCATCTGCCTCAAGAAAGGTGGTGTAGTCATCTCATCAGCAGGTGCGCTCCTGAGCCCCCAGCTCCTGATGTGGTCCGGTATTGGCAATGCAACTCTTTTGGAAGGCCTTGCAAAGAACGGCCAAGTCACCGTCCCCCCTCAGGACTGGATCAACAACACCGCAGTCGGCGACAAGGTATTCGACAACCCGAATACCTTCATTGAGCTCCACGACGAGTCCATTGAGTCTTTTGTCTACGATTACTCTAACCCGCCACCTACGGACGCTGAGATGTACTTGAAGAACCGCTCTGGACCATACACCTTTGCCTCGCAAACCAGTGCGTTCTGGGACTATATCCAGCAAGGCGAAGACCTCGTTGGTTGCCAAGGTACCATCGACTCTTCAGGAGCTTTCGACTATGCAAACGATAACAGCACCATCACCCTCAACGTCTACGGAACCTCAGGTCTTCGCTCCTTCGGTCGTGTTAGCCTCGACGAGCGGGGCATCGCTCTGCCATCATCCAACTTCTTCGCTGACCCCCGCGACGTCAACGCGATCGCGACCTTCATTCACAACATCTTTCAAGCCCTCCCAGAATCTCTCACACCCCTCAACATTGCGAAGAACTCGACAGTAGACGAGATCGAGGCCTGGTTGAAGACTCCAAGCCAGTACACACTTGGTAACGTGCAGCACTGGAGCAGCAGCTGCAGAATGGGCGAGTGCGTAGATACCGATACCAAGGTCATTGGCATGCAGAATCTGTTTGTCGTAGACGCCAGTATTGTTCCTCCTCTAACCACAAACCCCGTCATGGGTGTTATGATTGCTGCCGAGAGGGCAGTAGAGAAGATTCTTCCTCTCATGAAGACCCCGGTTTTGGATATCAGCTTGTAAATTCTATGATTACGACTTTGTTACGTAAAAAAAAGTTTTAATTGAATCCTTTTTTTTAGATAGATGATGCCTTCTTGAGCATACTAGAATAAAGAATTAATGCCTTGGAAAGATGCAATTCGTGCTCCACTTCCTGTGTAGTCCCGTATGCATTTGTAAGCAGGATGTAGACTACCAGATCCAAAGTGCAAAAACTACTTACAAAGAATGCAGACCCTTTGAATCTAAGTACAAAACTATCTGAATACAGAACTAAATCGCTATTCGCTTAATAGCCGTTCACTTTGATTTTCTGGTTATATAGGTTGAAGAAGAGCTCCCCAAGGAAGCTTTAAATCCCAAAGGGTAACCAACCGGAGACGGAAAACGGAGTACCCCGACAGAGCCCCCATACATTTGTAAGAAATTACGTCTTGCATATGTCACTGTGTTCCGTTTGTAGTGTGGAGTAATGCGGTGGGTAAGTTTATTTAACGAAAGACGAATTCCAGAGATTTCACTTTGGCATATCAATCTCTCCAAATTCAAGGCTGACGGTGAGAAAAGAAGTTGGCAACATGGAAGAAGATCTCACAAGAGCACTGAGCTACGCAAAAGCCGGTGCTTCCAAAATCACACTCGGTGCACGTTCATCCCTCGACTCCACCGTCACTGCAGTCCTCGAAGCAGCAAAAAGCGCCGACCACCCCCCACCACGCATCATAGCACTGAACCTCGACGTCGCCAGCGCCTCAAGCGTCTCCGCCGCCGCCTTGTAAGTCTCCAAAGACTTCGACAACCGCCTCGACATCCTCGTCAACAACGCTGGCTACCTCCACAAACTAACCTCAATCCCCGATTCCTCCCCAGAAGACTGGTGGCGCACCTTCGAAGTCAACCTCAAAGGCCCCTACCTCCTTTTTCACGCCTTCTACCCTTTCCTCCTCGCCTCCTTGCTCAAAACCGTAATCAACGTCGTGTCCCTCGTCGGCGTCTCCACACTCGCACGGCACTCGGGCTACGCGCTTAACAAGCTCGCTGCACTACGTTTGACACAGTACATCGACCAGGACCATGGGCAGGGCAAAGATGGGATAGTGGCGATTGGAGTGCATCCTGGGGTTGTGGCGACGGATATGACGTCGACGATGCCCGAGGAGCTGCATCATGTGGTTACTGAAACTCCGGAGTTGGCGGGGGATGCGATGGTGTGGTTGGGGGCTGAGAGGTAGGCGTCTGTATATCTTGAGAAACAGGGTAGAGTTTCAATGCTTGCTGGTGACGGACTCTGGATGCAGTATTATGCTTCATCAATGTCACTCCTTTGCTGCCATCTTGCACCTTCGTTCTCCACTTGATCGGCCATTTAGAGTAGGTGATAGGTACGTAGAGTGAGTGATATTGAGCTGCACCTCTCTTCAGCGCCACTCAATGGCTGCAATCGTGGTATTTGATAGTATCTCGGGCAAGCGGCAATCGTCAATTGGTGTCGCTCGCCCCTACCTTCTGGGAACGGCTAGCTACTAGGGTCAGCACGTGATATCTTCTGGCTCGTCTGCCATCCGACCGTGGTCAGTGAGCGACACCAATCGACAGCCGTCGCTCGTCAGCCACAACTAGCCACTGTGAGAAGGTGGCCAATCGACAACCGTCGCTCGTCCCCCCTGTCGAGCGACGGCTGTCTATTGGTGTCGCCTGCTGACTAACGTCGCCCGTCAGCCACAATGTCTCGAACACGATAATGATACCTCCAACCATCCACTGGTAAGGATCTACCTATTGCCTATGAACGCCTTCAGGGGCACGACTGCATTGACCGAGGCAACGACATTCCAGAGCAATGCTGATACCTGCTTAACTCAGCATGTCAACCTATCGGAACTGTTTCAATCGATCCTACGTCAGGCCTCCAATTCCGTCTATGTTTCTGTCCTTCTTGATTACTCAACAGCCTTGAAATCATGCAGGCGCAAATCTGCATCGGCCGCCGCATTCCATGGTCTGATTCTGGCACGACTTTTCAGCCACTACCTCGATTGAGCCACAGACTTTATCAAAAGGAAGAAGAATGAGTATAGCTGCAGGTCTGATACCGGTGACACAAAAGGCGTCAAATGTATGCGCATACTGCAGAGTCAGGAAACAGAGATGTGACCGCACTCTGCCACGTTGCCAAAGATGTACTGTGTAGGGGACCTTCTCCGTGTCCATAGAAGAGATAGGAGCTAAGTGGTTGTAGAAAAGAACGACACTGCGACTACACGCCATTCAAGGAGCCAATTCGCCAGCAGGACGACCATGTCACGCCATTGGTGCAGCACTCTAATACTTGTCTCCATACAGATCTGACCCTCCGCGGGGTCAGTGAGCTGCTTCATGCAACTACAACATGGATCACGTCTGGTGGTACACCCGGCGCGGCAGCCAAACTCTCCGAAGTCATATTCGATATCCTCGACCTAGCCGACGTAGACCTGGCACTAGCACTAGATGAGTTCGGTACCTGCATACAGCAGTGGTGTCCCGTGTTCCCCACGTCCTATCTTTACGGCGAAACAGAAGACCTATCGCAGCAATCCCAACACAAAGACAGATTACGCCGCCCCTTACTCTTGCTATGTCTCTGGCTTGTCACTCGCCGGACCTGCGTACAACAAGCCCACACCACACAGCCCCAAATCTACCTAGCTCTCAAGCAAGTCCTCGCCCTCCTCCACTCAAGCAACCAAATCAGCCTCCAAATCCTGCAAATATCCCTCCTCCTAGCAATCTACGAAACCGGCCATGGCCAATCCCACGCCGCATACCTCACCCTCTCCACCAGCATCTCCCTCTTCAACCTCCTCCTCCTCTCCCCCTCCCCCACCCCAATCCCAGACTGGCTCATCTCTAGCATCCTCTTCCTCTCCACAACCCTCTCCACAACCCACCCGACCCCCGGTTTCCCCCTAGCCCTGTCCCCCTCAAACCCCCTAGTCACCTCCCTCGCTTCCTCCCTCCCCCCCACCATCCCCGCACC